TTTTAGTGCATAAGCTAAATTATGACTTACTTGGCATCACACATTGGTGGGATACATCTCATGAGGGGAATGTTGGTAAACAGGGGTATAGCTTGATCAGGAAGGTCAGGCAGGATAAAAAGGAAGGAGGTGTTGCATTATACATCCCAGAGAGTAGTTATCGTTCCCACAGAGTAGTTATCAGTGGTTCACAGTCATGCTGGAAGGGCATAATGAATGGGGTCCTGCAGGGATCAGTTCTGGTTCTGTCCAATATCTTCATCAATGTTTTAGATAATGGCATAGAGAGTACACTTATAAAGTTTGCAGACGATACCAAGCTGGGAGGGGTGGAAAGTGCTTTGGAAGATAGGATTAAAATTCAAAATGATCCGGACAAACTGGAGAAATGGTCTGAAGTAAATAGGATGAAATTCAATAAGGACAAATGCAAAGTACTCCACTTAGGACGGAACAATCAGTTGCACACATAAAAAATTGGAAATGACTGGCTAGGAAGGAGTACTGCGGAAAGGGATCTGGGGATCATAGTGGATCACAAGCTAAATATGAGTCAACAGTGTAACTCTGTTGCAAAAAAAGCAAACATCATTCTGGGATGCATTAGCAACAGTATTGTAAGCAAGACACGAGAAGTAATTCTTCCACTCTACTCCGCGCTGATTAGGCCTCAACTGGAGTATTGTGCCCACTTCTGGGCACCACATTTCAGGAAAGATGTGGACAAATTGGAGAAAGTCCAGAGAAGAGCAACAAAATCTATTAAAGGTCTAGAAAACATGACCTAGGAGGGAAGATTGAAAAAGTTGAGTTTGTTTAGTCTGGAGAAGAGAAGACAGAGGGGACATGATAACAGTTTTCAAGTACATAAAAGGATGTGTGACAGGGCAAGGCCAGATGGCTACAAAAGTAGTGGGAGATAGATATATTAGCTCCAGGCTAAACATATCCCTAGTACCAGGATAAGTTAAATTAAGACACCTGGGGCCAATTAAGAGCTTTCCACAAGGCAGGGAGGAAGCTAGGTTGATTGGGACACCTGAAGCCAATCAGGGGCTGGCTGAAACTAGTTAAAAGCCTCCCAGTTAGTCAGGTGGGTGTGCATGTCAGGAGCTGTGGGAGGAAGTTGTGCTGTTGGAGAGACTGAGCAGTACACACCATATCAGGTATAAGGAAGGAGGCCCTGAGGTAAGGGTGAAGTGGAGCTTGAGGAAGTGGGGGCTTCTGTGGGGGAAATACCAGGGAATTGTATGTGTCATGTTTCTAAAAGGTCAGCTACCATAGTGGATACTATTAGGGTCCCTGGGCTGGAGCCCAGAGTAGAGGGCAGGCCTGGGTTCCCACCCCCACTTTTGTCCCCCTGACTAATCACTGAGACTGGGAGACAACAGAGACTGTGCAAGGGAGGATAGCTTCTCTTCACCTCCCTTGCTGGCTTATGATGAAAATGGTTCCGTAAACTGACCCTTGTCCCTAGAGAGAGAAGGGTTATGTGGAGGGTCACAGTGAGCCTCTGAGGCTAGCAAAATCTGCCAGGAAACATGGAATCCATGGAGGCAAGAACAGAGCTTTGTCACAGATGTTACAAGGAGGAGGGAGAAAAATTATTATTCTTAACCTCTGAGGATAGAACAAGAAGCAATGGGCTCAAGTTGCAGCAAGGGTGGTTTAGGTTGGACATTCGGAAAAACTTACTGTCAGAGTGGATAAGCATTAGAATAAATTGCCTACGGAGATGGTTGAATCCCCATCAGTGGGGATTTTTAAGAGTAGGTTGGACAAACACCTGTCAGGGATGTCTACATAATACTTGGTCCTGCCTTGAGTGCAGGGGATTGGACTAGATGACCTCTTGAGGTCCTTTCCAGGTCTATGATTCTATGAAAACACAGAATTCCCAATAAGTTATTGGAATGTATTGGGGATAACTTTTTGTTTCAGAAACTGGAGGAAGTAACATGGGGGATAGCCATTTTAGAATTGATTCTGACCCACAGGGAAGAATTAGTTGCAAATCTGAAGGTCGAGGATATTTTGGGTGGAAGTGATCATAAAATGATAGATTTAATGATCCTAAGGAAAGGAGGGAGTGAGAGCGGCAGCATAAGGACAAAGGACTTCAAAAAACACTTTGTAAAACTCAAACTGGTAGGTATGATCCCATGTGAAAAAAATCTAAGGGGCAAAGGAGTTCAGGAAAGCTGGCAGTTTCTGAAGGAGACAGTATTCGACATGACTGCAAACTATCCTGATGTGAAGGAAAAACAAGGGAGAATAGTAAGAGGCCAATATGGCTCCATCAGGAGCTCTTTAATGACAAGAAAATCAAAAAGGATCCTACAAAAAGTGGAAACAGAAAATTGCTAAGGAGTAGTGTAAAAGAATAGGACAAGCAGGAAGGGACAAAACCAGAAAGACTAAGGCTCAAAATGAGTTACACCTAGCAAGGGATATAAAAGGCAATAAGAAGAGGTTCTTTAAATGCATTCAGGTCAACAGAAAGATGAAGGAAAGTATAGGTCCTCTATTTTGCAGAGAAGGAGAGTTAATAGCTGATGACATCAAGAAGGATGAGATGGTTAAATGCTCATTTTGCTTCAGTTTTCACTAAAAAGGTAAATGATGACCATATAGTCATATATATAATATTAACAGCAAGGGGGAAGGAATGCAAGCTAAAATAGGGAAATAACATGTTAAATTATATTGCGGTAAGTAAGATGTATTCAAGTTGCCAGGGCCTGAAGAAATTCATCCTGCGGTACTAATTGAAGCCATCTTGGAACTGTTAGCAATTATCCCTGAGAATGCATGGGCAATGGATGAGTGCCCTTCTTCAGTCTCCTGGGACAACATGGTACCTCTCCTTAGAAAGGTGAGCAAGAGGACAAGGGGAACTATAGATCAGTCAACCTAACTTCAATACATGGGGAAAATACTGGGACAAATTTTTAAACAATCAATTTGTAAGTAAGTACCTAGAGGATACCAGCGTTATGAAGAATAGGCAGCATGGATTTGTCAAGAATAAATCATGCCAAACCAACCTAATTTCCTTCTTTGACAGGGTTACTGGACTAGTAGATGGCAGGGAACAATAATTGTGACAACTTGATATTAGTAAGGCTTTTGACGACAGTCCCACATTACATTCTTGTAAGTTAGGGAGGGAAATGTGGTCTACATGATACTACTATAAGGTGGGTTAAAAGACTACAAAGAATAGTTATCAGTGTTCACTGCCAAACTGGGAGGGTGACCCATGGGGGTCAGTACTAGGTCCAGTACTAGTCAATCCGAGACGATCTGCAAATGCTGATAGTCGGGGTGCAGAGTGAGGGCAGCTGGCTTCAGCAGTGTTACTGAAAATGCTCAGTACAACCCACGTAGCAAATCTGTGGGGGCATGTGATCCAGCATGTCCCCACCACCACCCGTCGCTTCTGTAGTCAATATTTTCATTAATGACTTAATAATGGTATGGAGGATATGTTTATAACATTTGCAGATGACACCAAGATGGAAGGGATTGCAAGCACTTTGGAGGACAGGATTAGAATTCAAAATGACCTTGACAAATCAGAGACTGATCTGAAATCACAAACATAAAATTCAATACAGACAAATGCAAAATACTTCACTTAAGAAGGAAACCTCAAATGCACAACTACAAAATGGTGAATAACTGGCTAGGCGGTAGTGCTGCTGAAAAGATCTGGGAGTTATAATGGATCAAAAATTCAATGAGTCAACAATTCTGAAAAAGGCTAGTGTTTTGCGATGTGTTAACAGGAGTGTTGTAGGTAAGACATGGGAGGTAATTGTCCCGCTCTACTCGGCATCAGTGAGGCCTCTCCTGGAGTACTATGTCCAGCTCTGGGTGCCGCATTTTAGGAAAGATGTGGATAAATTGGAGAGGTTCCCGAGGAGAGCCACAAATATGATGAAAGGCTTGGAAAACCTGACCGGTGAAGAAAAGTTTAAAAACAAAACAAAACTGGGCAGGTTGTCTTGAGAAAAGAAGACTGAGTGGGGACCTAACAACAGTTTTATGTTAAGGGCTGTTATAAAGAGGTCAGAGATCAATTGTTCTCCATGTGCACTGAAGGTAGGACAAGAAGTAATTTGGCATAATCTGTGACAAGGGAGATTTAGGTTTGATAGTAGGAAAAGCTTTTGAACTATAAGTGTAGTTAAATTCTGGAATAGGCTTCCAAGAAAGGTTGTGGAATCCCCATCACTGGAGGTTTTTAAATAGGTAGGACAAACACCTGCCAGGGGTGGTCGAGATTTACTTGATCCTGCCTCAGCACAGGGGCTGGACCTGATGACCTCCCAAGGTTTCTTTCAGCCCTATGTATATATGATTTTATATATGTATTTTTTAAATACATCTATAAAATATTTATCAATACAGAATGGGATGCATAAAGGAATTGAACACAAATTAAAAGATTCTAATTAAGAATTAGAATAGGAGATTATTCCACAGTTGGAATGTTGTACATATCTTTAGATATTGATTTTACAGATATGGGGAAGGCAGGCAGGCTGATATATGGATCTTGGTTGTACAGAATGGGTAAAGAAACTAGACCTGTGTTTTGTTATTTAAGCATATTTTTAAAAAAAGATGCTCTCAGTGACATTTTAAAAATGTTTCATGCTTTATTTGCCAAGATGTGTAAATATGCTTACTTTATATGCACCAAAAACGATACTGTATATGCAAACATTTTAAAAAAACTAAGTTGCAATCGGACAGCAGTCAGAAAGGACAGTTACTTCCTGGTTAAAGCGAGAGGTTTTTTTATAGTTGGAATATGAAAGCAAATGTTTTAACTAAAAATTATATTCCCTACCTTAGTGGGAAAAATATTAACTTGTAACGGCTAACCCAACTCAAGTGAATAGATGTTGGTTGTTCTTCTCCTGTCCTTAAAGCTTTATGTAGCATTTAATTTCTAATTTTAAAGTGAAAAAATAAAACTGATTAAATAATCAAAGTAAACAAATGGAAGTAGCTTTTATTTTTGAAGCATTGAACTCACAATACAACATAGTATTGAAATATAATGATATAAATAAATGATGCTGTAGGTTGGCTAGTTTTCCACTTAGACCCACAGGGAGCAATGTTATCACACAAGAATGTTCAATAAGAAAAAATGTGCAGATAACAAAAGGTGCAATTACAAGCAAATTTAAGCAGCATAGTATAAGGTGCTTTGATTCAACACTTGTATAATCAGATTATCCATTCACAGACATGTTGTTAAAGGTAAATTTTACTTCACTCTGTTACAGACTAACAAATATGAGAATCTAAATTCATTCACATGCTGGTTAATAGGAAAGTGCTTTTTTCTTTAAAAATGATACACAAAGTGAAGATGATATTTTACATAGTTCACTGTGCTCTTCAACAGTAAAATTTCTTTAACTTAATTTTGGATTAACATTTACATTATTACTTTAATTATAGACACTGATATTACACTTTAATTATAGACATTGATCTAGTTGCTGAATTTGATGCTACATATGCTAAAACTTCTTGATAAAGAAGAATCCAGTATGATATCACTCCATGATAAGAACAAACACATTATTCTCTTTTTTATATATATATATATATAAATCCAAATTTTTTTGCAAACAAAAGTTCAATTGTCAGTTTTAATACATGACTTTACCTTGCATAAAGCTTCTCTCATTCACCGCGTGCCACATCTTTCTGAGGTTTCAATAACCAAAGTGTCCTTTTCAAAGATGTAACCAAAAGGAGGAGCAAAAATTTAAACACATGCAAAATGGTTGGGGGAAGTATGGTTAAAAAGCAAGTGAAATGCCTATGGTGTCATTTGCTAAATTACCAATAAACAGTTGAATTTTAAGAACTAGTGCAAACAGGAAAAGGCAATATTTAACAATACGTAGTTTGAAATGTTTGGCACCACAATCACAGGTTCATCCCTTATGCTGGCTTACACAGCATGGAAACGGTATTGTATTTTATGTTAAAAATAGGAAAATAACGAATACCTTCAAGAACAATCCTGAAAAACACCAACCAATAAACTTAATTTCTAGTTACTATTTGAAAAGATATAGGGCAAACCCTGCCCTACCACGTTTCTGAACGCTGTTTCTTCAGCCTATATAAACTGGATACACACCAAAAAGGGCTGATAAAATATTTACAAAAACCCAATGGAATTTAAAAATCAGCATATCTCAAATGTATTCATGCACCAGGCATTTAAAGATAATGAAATAAGTAAAACTTTACCTAATCCACAGGTTTATGTATGAAAATACTTCATTTTAACTTCATATGACAATAGGTGAAGATTATAAGGTTATGTCCTGTCACATCCATTTTAGCAGCTCCTGTTTAATGAGGTTAATCTAATCTCTAGTCCAGTAAGAATTATGATACATCAACTTCTCAAATGGAACATGAACTATAGATGAAATTTTAAAAAGTTAGATAAGGTTACTAACATTGACAAGTCAGATTTGGCTTTTAAAATCTAGATCTAATAGTACTTTACATACTTTATCTGTCCTGAGATGGCAGCATTCTTAATATTTGCTGCAATCATTTTAAAGCGAATGGCAATTTTTACATGGAAATGTGACAAAGCAAATCAATTTCAATTCACAAACTTTATATTACAAAGAATACTTTTAAAGCAAGATTTAGAAAACTTTAAAATAGAATACTTTTTTTTTTTTTTTAACCCACACACTTTGGGAAAAGGTATCAGATAGGATTTCAACCCTCAGGATGTCAATGTGTCCATTGACTAGATAACAGCAGGAAGACCAGCTTCCACATACCATCCTCCTACTGTGCTTTAACCCAGTGTTGGAGGAACCATCTTTAAATATGAAATGGTAGTTTTCTCTTTCTGCTCATTTAATCCTTGTTTTCTTATTTAAAGAAAGCAATTAGCATGTGGAAAAATTGTTCACTAAATCCTAGACTGAGATAATAGACTCATGTCATGTAGGATACCAGCTCGAGGATAACTATTTTTTTTAAAATCATAGTTGAACCCCAGTGACCTATGGTAAAACTATCTGTATCCCATTACCCTTCCACAAGCTATCTGTGTTCAAATAAAGGATCTTCTCTCTCTACCCCATTTTCTTATCTTAGCTGATACTACAGTGGGAAGCTATAATGCTGCATCTTTGATATAACAATACAACTGCACACCATGATATGATTAACAGGATTACAGATTCACTGCAGAATCTAATATGTTGAGAAGGTGGTAACTGCAAATATTTCAAATACTGGCAAAATAATTATAGAAAAATCACTGCCAAATGTGCTTTGTGCATTAATTTATGTGCATGCTTGTGTCAGCATTAAAGTCCTCCTTTAACAGGCCACATGCCATCCAAATTCTGTATAGTCATCTAGCCATCATTATTATAAACACCCAATAAATTCATGATGTAGGTGCTACCCTTATTAAGAACTTTCTGTATCCATCTCATCTTAGATTCCATTAAGAAACCAATGAATGGACTCAGATGAGACCATGTAAATCTGCTCTTTAATGAGAGATTTTATTTGCTTTTCAGCTCCAAATGGAAATATTAGGTACTTATTAATCTTTTATTTTTCTTACTAATGCTAACTCACATCTCTCCTGGATCAAACTGGTTTCATCTGCAGAGCAGTTGTACCTAATAAACCATTCTATACTTGTGTCAATTATTTTTGTGCTTCTACTTCTACTTCCTCATCAGGAGGCTGAAATATGCTGATTTATTATGTGTGAACAATGCTGTACTTTTCAACTGCAGCTATATAAGAATACAGTACTTTAAAAATGTTCATTAAGTATGAATTAAACATTATACTTATTTAATATTTATTTATCATTGTACTAAGATATTTGTGCTCAAATTATAATTCATATAAAACTCTTCAAAAGGCTCTATTTCTAGATGTCTATTTTATATCTAGATGACATTTTGGATAATTTAGCAGCAAGTAGCTTGCATTGGAAGTCAGTCTGAAATTTTCACTCATCCTCTCAATTTCTCTTGAAATATATTTACCCCACTGATTCTTATGCATGTGCTTTTTAGGAAAAGCTGAATCCACATCTTTGTCAACTCCAAGTGAACTGCAAGCTTATTGAAAAATTTAAATAATATGCTGCTTATATATTACCTTTCTTCTCAGAATTTCACCATTTCAACATTAATTTGCCCCATAATAGTATCTGAGATGTATAAATATTACACAATTTATAGAAGGGTAAAAACTGAAGTGTAGAAAACGTAACCAAAGTTACACTGCGATTTTAACGTAAGAGACTTGAATAGAACTCTGAGAGCCTAGTTATCAGTCTCTTGTTCTAACCACTACACAAGAGGCACTGGTGCACACAGCCTACACTCATGATGTAAAAATCACATTTTAATCTCTATGGTGATGCTTGGGGAGGAAATCTGGCATAGTTTAAAACTTCTCCTTAAGATGTGTGATACGAGAAGACAGCACTATTTCTCTCTCAGATATTATTATTTGCAATGCAATGAGAACACAAATTAAACAGAGTCAAATTCTTCTCTTCCATAAACAGGTGCAACTCTATAGAGTTGAATTTGCTTATGCCAGCACTAATTCCCTTAATCTTCCAAGACAAATATTAACTTGTCTAATTTTAGACACTTTTTTTCATTAAAAATAGTGAAACTCCCCTCTCTCTTTCAGAATATACTTGGCCATGTTCTCTAAATTACATTTAAAACAAAGAGGGGAAAATGAACTTTTAATCATGTTTACAAAGAAATTTTTGGCAAAACTGATAAAACGTTCTTACCTTGTGGCTCACACTTACCTGATAAGCACACTGCAAAATCTGGCTCAAACTATAACTTATTTCACTATAACTATATCTACACACATCTTCAATAAATAAGAGAAAAGACTTGCAAATACTACCAGTGAGATGTCTTGACTTAATTAAGGTTATTTGGTAGTGCTCAGTTCAGTAGCACTTTCAGATACTTCTCTCTTCAGCTGCACTGAAGACCTGATCCAGCACCCATTGAAGTCAAGGGGAATCAAGCTTCAAAGAGTGCTGGACCAGCCCCTAAATGCCAAAAGCTTCATCCTTTTAGCAAAATAAAGCACAAAACAACTAACTCATAAGTTATTACAATAGTAAAAAACAATGCTTGTAAAAACCCTACTATAATAACTGTACTCACAACTTGAATGTAGGTGTTGACAGGCCCTACTACATAATGAATAAAAATTAATATAAGAGTATGTCCAAAAGTGTATAGAGCCTTTAGAACACAAACATCTCTCCTCCGGTTCCACACAATTATTACACACTTAGGGCTCAATACAACTTCCCTTGTCTCCAGAGATCATCGGATCAGGCCCTCTTACTCTTAAATCATTGGTATTCTAACACTTTAACTGTTTTCTGATGTACAGTGGGAAGGTTTTATTTCATGTGCATCCTACTGCTTTCAATCGAAATAACGGAGTTGACTTTTACAAGGCCTGGCACATGAGAAATCAATGAAGCTTTTCTTAGTATAAAGATGCAACAACACCTCTCAAACATGTGTCTAACATTTCAATGTATAGAAGAATCTGAAAATGATACTGGGATTAAACTTTTTAAATGCCCCCACATTTTCAAAGCAATCTGCAGAGATTTAGCCACACAGTCTACTGGCTCTAATGTAAGTCATCTGACTTACACTGATATTAATTCCTCTGAATATGTAGATGTTTTATTCTATTTTAAATCTCTTTAAAATATTTCCAAACTGAAACTATAGCTCGTTGTGCAAAAGTGACTTTTTAAAAAATTACAATTACTTCTGTAGGAACAATAAATAACATCTAAGACTGAAAAATATGAACTTAGAGCTCTGTTCAGCCCCATATCCCAATCAACATTCAATAGTAATAATTAAAAAAAAAAAAACTCCAAGACCACACACATTAGAAAATCATAAGCTTCTCTTCCTTTTTGATCAACTAGTTTTGAAGCAGCATCAATTTAAAAAGTGATCTTACTGAATAAATTATGCCAGGAAAAGCTCCAGTGTGGATGCAGTTATACCAATATTAATTACTCTAATCCAAGATAGCTTATTTCACTTTGCCAAACCAGAATAAGCTATAATTTTATACTAATATAACTATCTACACTAGCTTTTTTGGTTGCACTGCTTTAATTATGTTAGCATAGTTAAAGCAGCAAAACTTTTAAGTGTGGACCAGGCCTACAATTCCAGTTCTCCAATCCACGATATTTTAAAGCATACATAGTGTTTTGTGGCTCTCCCAGCTCTATAAGGAATTATATATGAAGTGTAGCTCAGCAAAAGAGCCAGAATGAATGTGTACAGCAATCTGGGTTACTTTGAGCTCCTGGCAGTCTGTCAATAATTAGTCAACAAGGATTTATATATATTAAAGGCTAATATATATAAAAAATCCTTGTTGACATGCATATATATATATATATTAGTCTTTATATACATATAACTGCTAACTGTAGAAGTGTTTTTCTGAAAACTGTCCAACAATTCAAGATTAAAACAATAACCAAACTAACATGCATGTAACACTACAAACAACTGTAGATCTAGGCTATAAGCCTCACAATAGAAGATCACACTATCTAACATACTGTAATTCATTATCAATTCACAATTCACGTGTAACACATGTACTTTCTACATTGCCAAACAAAGAATAACACAGTAATCAGACAAAGATTAAAAAATTAGCCAATAGTATTTTTGTATATAAATAATTAACGCTCTCTAGTTTTGACAAATCCAAGAGATAAATATCAACATATCTTTAGTCTTCTACTAGCTTATCAAACAAGCACAGATAAGATAAAAAAAAGAAAAGAAAGAAGCTAAGCAGAACCCAAAGTAGCCATTCTTTTACCACTGAAATGAACACTGCCAACTATCTGCACAGTGCACTTTCAGCTAAGAAGTTTGATTTAACCACCACTAGCATTAGCCAGATTAGACTGTCTTCCCCACACCACTGTGTGTACAGAAAAAAATAAATCTAAAAGTGCCTTGCAAAAAACCCCCAGCTTTTGGCTGTGTATTTTTCTAAATCTTTTGTTGCCCCACTGGGTGTTAAGCTCTCACCATACATTTTGCATTAAGTAGGTAACTTTGGGTAATCTTAACTTCCAGCTTCATAGGCTGATAGAAAATATCGGAACAGAATCTTTTGATACAGTCAGTTCAAGAAGTTATAATTCAATGCAGTGGTTCTAATGCTGACCTCTGGTAGATAGAAACAAAGTGTTATGTCTAATGAAGGAAAGGGAACTACACCATTTTCTGCAGGTCCAATTTGCTCTTCAAAGTCATCTGTGAAATAGGAGCCAAATGTCAGCACACCTTTGACTAATTCTTTCCTTTTAACCAGCAACTGTGTGTTGGTCTAGGTTAACTAGCAGCAAGCAAACTAGAAGTATAACAATTTAATGCTGTCTTAGTGCATACCAGCATACAAACAACAAAAGTAATGTATGTGCTTCAGCACTCTCTGGGAAGAGAGTCATGCCATTTGCTTGCCAGTAGTTCTACCACTGCGAATGTTAGAGTTACGATGAACACCCTACATTTTACAGAATACTTCCAAATGAAGAAAATACTAAAATGGCCAACAGATAAGCTTTAGGCTGTAAGAAGAAGAGGTTTGTTACAAATTCCCTTCAAATGATATGCTCAAGACGAAATGAAACTCAGAGAGTGTCTAAATGCATAGCATTTTACCATAATCAGTGCTTCCACAGACTTTGTGGACTCTTCTGTTATTCCATAGTCTAAAAAATGCTTGTGGGAAAATTTGTTTTTCTGAACATATGAACAAAATTCAAACGATGATCAGATTGTGTTAAAAACCCCTTAACCTTGTATGATACAGACCATGGTTTTGGGTGTTGTTTTTTTTGGGGGGGGGGGGGGGGGGAGAGAGGGAAGAGACTAGTATCATCTACCACAACATATTACGTTTTATATGTGCCACTCATCCTACCTCACCCTTTGCTTTATTCTAACAATTCCCAAGCATTGCTTATAAATTTGCTAATTACTGGAAGTTTTGGAGGATTATATGATACAGCCGGAGGAGTAAATTTTAAAGTCATTATGTGGGGGGAAAAAAAGATATTTAGCAAAATATCACAGTAATAGGTATGCCATAGTATGTATCAGTCTGTTAGAGAGAAGCTACTGTCTAAAGCTTCCCATTAGGATTCCTTCAATGAGTTGATGCGGGCACAAATTTTCAGTGCAGGTCCCAGCTTAATGTTCATTGCACTCATAAGGTGATCCTCTTTCAACAAGAGAAGGGCCTGTCCATCGATCTCTTGTGCTCTAAATTCATCTGCAATATCTTGACAACCTGCAGTGGAATAAGAAATAGTAGGTTAGAAATAAATGCTGACAGATGCAATGGCCTTGTATACAGTGGAATTTTTCTGATTCATAATTCCCAATGGCTGTATTTTTCATTGGTGGAAGTTGTAGTGTAGATGAGAGTTAGACAATGATTGCAAGAGCTCCTGAATTCAGCTGAGTCCTATCTACATTACCTCATCGACTGGTGCTACCACTGGTGCAACTGTGCCCATTAGAAATTAAAAATCCTAGTGTAAAACAAGGCAATTTTTTCCTATTTTGTTTACAAGAATGATTGCCATGATCTCAGAGTCCTTTGATGCAGACTAAAGAAATACCTATTAAATAAAAACACAGAATCCATCTGGGTTCTCTCCGGCAAGAAAAGATGACATTAATATTCTGCAGGTGTGAACAGCTCAAATCTCAGAGGCTCAGAAAAAAATTACTTACCTATAATTTCTGAAATATCCCCGGTTTTTGGGTTCACATGTGCAACTCTGACTTAAATTTTCAGAATTTTTAGCTATGAAGTTTTATTAGAACTCCCCCAACAAAAATCATTAATATTACAGGCATTGATCGAAAGGCATACTCTATGTCTGAAGAAGGAAAGATAGTAGACTGGCATGTCAATGGAGGTGAGTTAAGGTAGTTGGGTGCCTTGTTTGAGGAGTACCATAATGCTGTGTTTCCCAGGTTTGTTTGTTTTTTTTTCTTTCCTTAACTAACAAGGTAACAAGCATTCAGCTCACTGATACATGGTTGCACCTTTAACACAGAAAATTGGGATGTTCAATGGGAAAGACTGTTTCAAATAACCAACAATCTCTCCCACAGATTGTCATTGGGGGAAAGAAAATGATTCTCTGAGAGATGTCCTGATGAACAGTTTTCCTAATCCCATTAAGTGGGGATTTCTGTTATATTTCAACCTGACCTGCAACATCCTTGCTATTTCAATGCCAGGCCAGGAATCTGTTAAGCAGAAACTGTCAATTATGCCAAATTGTATGGTAGTTGTGTCCTATGGAGAATGTATAAATGTCCTCTAGCACCTAGAAGACCACTCATTTTCAGTTTTGACTTGAAGATTCTCCTTTCCCACTATACCTCATATTTTATATTAATTTAAAAACAATAACTTATTTTCTTAATCCACTTGTCTGGCACATTTCTTTTTATATCCTTTCAGATGTTTTCTCCCTTAACCTTCCACCCCCCATTCCTGATTTTAATTATTACTCAATAAGTTTTACTTTCTTGATTTCATTTAATATTTTTGGCTTTTCCCTTTTATAAAGAATCTGTACAGTTATGGGGAAATCCTCCACATGGAGAAGTCCCTATTTGTGTTCCCAACAGAACCAGGCACCATTGTTCCTAGGATGAGAGCAAGTGACTAATTCTGGATCTCATTGTAACTTCATTCTTTTATAGAATTTAAATATAAATATTGTCCTCTTTTCAGTCTGATTTATAAATGAGCAAAGGACAGGTAAATAGAAAGTGGTGAAGAAGTGTTAGTTCAGCTTTAGTGGAGTGTCACTGCGTATGAAAGCAATAAAATTTATGAGCTGAAACAGGAAGCCCTCCATAAAGAGTAAACCCACTTTCTATTTCCTTTTTAGTATTCTATACACAGATTTGGTTATGTATCAAATCAATTGACAATTTATTAAGGAGATGAACGAGTTACAGTCCAGGGTGATGCAGATTAGAGGACTGTTGAGCTAAATGGCTAGGAAACAGGAACGTCTTGATGGAGAATTCCATAGCATAAACTATGCCTTCAGGAACTTTAAGCTACAACTCAGTAACACATTAATTAACATAGCTACTGTAAAGCAGCAGATTGTCTTCTGTTAACTGTTGGTATAGCACCTACCACAATGGGGCCTTGATACCTGATTGGGGTTCCTGGACACTAACAAGTATAGTGGCATAAAAAGAGGAAAAGAAAAATTAAGCATCTCATAATGATCTATATACTCTGATAACACACCAGAGAAAGGATTACATATTCTATTATCAAAAAGAAAAGGAGTACTTGTGGCACCTTAGAGACTAACCAATTTATTTGAGCATAAGCTTTCGTGAGCTACAGCTCACTTCATTGGATGCATACTGTGGAAAATACAGAAGATGTTTTTATACACATAAACCATGAAAAAATGGGTCTATCACTACAAAAGGTTTTCTCTCCCTCCACCCTACTCTCCTGCTGGTAATAGCTTATCTAAAGTAATCACTCTCCTTACAATGTGTATGATAATCAAGGTGGGCCATTTCCAGCACAAATCCAGGTTTTCTCTCTCTCCTCCCCCCCCCCAACCCACTCTCCTGTTGGTAATAGCTTATCTAAAGCGTTTTACTAAGAAACCTGTTTTAAAGTCAGTTTTGGAAAATTGAGGGATTGGAGTTTGGATTATTTCAATTCCCTTACTCAAATATATACTAGCATTCACAACTGCCAAAAGAGTGAGTATACTGTATATACCTTGTATTGCACCCAGTTGGTAATGAGCATTTGGGGTTATATAAAGACCACTAACCTTGGAACAGTATATGTGAAAGTGGAACATCTCTGGAGGAGCATATGCCACAGCAGATCCAACAATTCTTCTTCTTCTCCAGGAGAAATTAGCGGCAGTAAAAATGTCACAGAAACCAATAGACCCTAAAAAAGCTCCCAGGGAATTCAGGAAAAGCTACGTATAGACACCAGATGAGGAGACCCTATTCTGTGCTTAGATTTCAGTTCATGGATTCTATTTAGAAGGCTGTAAATCAAAGGTATCTAATGGATTACCAAAGACAGAAACTGACAAATCAATGTTGTATAACAAGACTGATGGCCTGTACGGCGTGCATTAGATTCATAATCCAAAATAATATATGCAGTCCAATTACTATCCTGATTCTTTTCTGTACAAAGGTCAATCACCTCTGCCAATTCTGTTAGTAATATAGGAGAACATTTTCTAGAATACTGCTTGAAAAACATACTGGAGGTATGACGAGAACCTGGAAGTGCCCAAAAAGATAAGAAATGTAGCCATATAGTAATAAGGAAGCTTTTTGGTATGTTGGGGCCCATCATTTGGATATCTAGAAGATAAATAATTTCCAAGGAGGGCAGAAAACAAGACCTTAGACTGGACTGAAACCTAATGTTAACTGTAGAGAAATTTCTGAACAAGTCTCATTTAAATTCAGAAATCAACATGTTTATCAAACATATATGAGGAACAGATTCAGTATCCTGTAGAAACTTCCTCAGGTAATTGTTTCAAAGTAGAGAACTATACATTAGGATTTTAAGAACAGTGTCCTTGTTTAGCACAGTTGCACAGGAATTTCTCATGCCTAGGCTGCTCTGCATGTTTTAAAAACGTACTGTAGGGTGATCCAAGGTAGATAATGCAGCTTAATATACATCCACATATTATAGTCACCAGAAGGAATGTACATCAAGGGTAATTTCTGTGGATTAAAAATTTCTACCTCTTTATAGAAGCATCACTTACTGTCAAATTAAATTCTTCTAAATTTGATTTACTTCATAAAAGACCAGTGGCAAAAAGGCAAGTTTTATCACCCAGGGATGAAGATACTTTCCCACAAAAAATCATCTTACTAAAATGTTTGTGTTTCAAGAGAAATTGTTTGCTATCACTATAAATCCCAGAAGCAAGTAAGCTAATAAGAACAGAGCCAACCTGAGTTTCAATGTGCAGAGATGTAAGAGGCATGTTTTGGTAAGAGAAGAATCTTTGATTGCTTCAGGTAGTGAGGTAGGCCTCATCACCAGAAAAGGGTAAGATATGTGCCTGAGCAAAACTACATTTCCCCAAGGGGGAAGCAGATATGGGAGCTAGTCACAGAAGAAAATGCCAAACAAATGTAAAATCACAACTATGAACACTGAGCTAAAAGAGAAAATATGTACATAACAAGACAGGAGACCCATCCTAGATATTAGAATGGAATATTACAATTGTCTGTACGATTTCCAATACATGCATCCTTAGAGGCTACATAGAAAAGGCTCTCTGTATTTCAGGTCCTCTGAAAAGCCATACAAACTGTGGATTTAATTTTATAAAGGAAAAAAAATGTAAATCAGTCTTTTATATTATAAAAGATCTTTAATGTTAATCTTTCAATAATATATAAGGAAAGAAGAGCCCCTTTCTTGCTTTCTCTTTTAAATGAAGAAAGAGTAAGGAGGGAAGAGATAGAAAGAGAAGCATAAAAGGGAGGAAGTGTGTCTGATTCAATCTCTCTACTGACCTCTTGAGAGAAATCAGACTGAAGGGAGGAACACCTTTACTCTCCATCAGCTGGGATGCCACAGCAGAGGTGGGACTAGTTCTATCGACATGGGGCTTGGAGGGGAAACCCGGTTGTGCTGAGGGAACAAGCAAGAGGAAACAAATCACATTCCAGCCTCTACTACCAATTAACTAGCATCTGAGTGCTGTTACAGTACCTCTCCCTCATAACCATGCTAAAAAAAAGCAAAGAGCTTTAATGTTCCAAAACTGTGTGTGTGTGTGTTTTTTTTTGTTTGTTTTTTGTTTTGTAAAGTGAAAGTATCTACATTACATACCAGGCAAAGAACGTATGAAGGCCCAAACTTCATCAACTGTCCACACTGATGGATCAGCTTGTACAGATGGTAGCAAGTCAATGTTCTCTGGCAGTTTTCTAACTTTTAGTTCCCTAAGTTCACGCTCTCTTTCCCTCTCACTTTGTCTTCGCAGACGAGTGGTCATGGCAGCTGGCACAGCATCATCATGAGAAGCCAAATCATCTTCTGCAGATGGATAAGTAATTGGAAGCTGGAAAATGTAATACAAAGAAACTATACTATTATATTTCTTTTGCAATTCCTAAAATAGTGCTCTAGTTTTAAGCAAGTATTCCACAGACCTGTCTAAGGAAATGCTCTCGTGATGCCCCATCAGAGCCACTTGGTCGATGCGCACGTCGTCCAAGACTTTGGCTATCTGACTTCCGATTCCAACGACTGTTCTTGTCTGATGTAAACAGCCCAAATTTTTTAGTGCAACTTACGTTGTGCCTAAAGAAACAAAATATATTCAATAGTGTACTGATAACTCAGTAGAATTTTTTTTTAAAATCAATATAAACAACATTTTATGCTTCCTATGGAAATGTAGTCTGCTTGGTGGAACATGTTTGTTCCAATCCTGTTTCCCTAGAAAAGTTGGGGAGCTGTAATAGCGCTTGGCCTGCATGCTAATACTTGTGTACTCCCTGAGCCAGCAGTACCCATTATTCAGATTATTCTTAATTTTTAGTAGGGGCAGAATGCCTATTGAGCCTGTACATATAATTGCTATTATACAGATTACAGGCACGCATGAGCACTGATTTTTGCAGTGTGTACATTTTGGGGATAACTATACCACTTTTCCCTTCCTTATCAGAATTTGGCCATATTAATAAACAAAATATTTTGAACAGGTGGCACACACAAATCATGCCTTGACAAATTATGACCAAAAATGATAGAACAAGGTTACTTACCAGCAACTGAAGATCTCCAATATATTTTCTCTGCAGAGCCACACTGTAGGAGCCACAAACTTACTTTACAGATCATCAAACCATAACCAGCAGTAGCACAAATCACCAGTGCTCAGTGCATTTCCCACCCAGAGATGTTCTGGCAGGTAAATCTTGTCTACACTGGGAAATTTATAAGATTAACACAAGTGGGAGAAGTCCCAGTATAGACAATCACTGTCTACACTGGGGCTCCAGCTGACACCGCCTTTGGTTTGAAAGGTCCTGCCCGCTAACTGTCCTTCTGTTTCTCTCAATTCAGAAGAGCCTAACACAAATTCTGAAGGTGGAGGGAAAATGTCTGGTATGGAGTGGCAGAGGTAATATAATTGGAGAACTTCTGTTACTATTATGAAATATACTTTTTTTTTCACCCCTCTCATGAAACCAGCTCCACAGAGCCCTATTCTGGAGCAAACAGCGGATCCTCAGAACAAGGGCTACATGGTACTACATGAACAGAGACAAAAGCACTGGTCCCCTCACATGAATATCCAACCTTGTCGCCAAACAGAGACAATTCTTTGTAAAAGCATGAACTGAACTTCAAAGGGCAGCCTTGCCAATTTTCACAAATGACATTAGTTTAGCCAAAGACCAGTAGCTGCCATTCTTCTAGTGAAATGGGCTCTAATGAAAACATTGCCTTTAAGGTATATCTTTCCTGTGGAGGTAACTGAATTAGACTCTCAAGTTGCTTCTCTTGAATTAGTTTAGCTTGAATAAGAGTAGCCAGACGGCAAAATTAATCTCAAGTTGTTGTGTCCATATTAGCATTGCACTCGTTCATGTGTTGCACTAAGATTTGTAGAGGCATATCCTATGGTTCTTTGCACTGCAAAAAGCTGAGCTGCTCTGTGACTTCTTTCCCAAAGAATTGTGGGAGAACATGTCTTTTTTCTGGGCACTGGAGGAAATTATGGGATGCCACTGAGGACTAGTGACACTGAAGTGCAGTATGGACTCAAATAGCTCCAGAATGGTCATATTAGCAGCTGTTGTCCTAACTTGAGCTCTAGCAGGAACCCCTGATGAGCCAGCCAATTCAAGTGAAAAGCAGCACCACACTTGAATTAAGGAGTTTTGTGTTTGCGCGTGGACGGGAAATACTCGAGTTACAACTCAAATTAACGGCAGTGAAGACAAGTCCTAAGTCATTCTGGCACCGGAACACAACAAATCTGAATACATAACTTGATCCATTTTGATGATTTCTAAACTTCAACAGAGACTTTAGGTTTCCTCACCAATGCCACGAACAAATTAGGTGACTTACAGAAAGGTTTATATGTATCTAAATTTAAAAAGAGATACACAGCATCCTTGTAACATCTAACCAATGGATTCTGAATCTGGCCTCTCATCATAAATCACAAGTTCTAGGAAATTAAAGGTTACAAACTAAATAAATGGTTTGGGATGAAATTTCCTGTAAGGTGGCATAAAGAAGGATCAGCCACAAGGGCATGGATTTATTGAGCCTTATAGCCAAAGTAATGGCAATAAAAATGCAAGCTTCAAAGGATAATGGCAAAAGCAGTCACTTATCAGCAGAGCTGGTCAAAATAGTTCAAATTTTGATGAAAAATGGCAAAGAAATGATTAAATGTTTGTGGTTCCTGCCCCCCACTTTTTAAAAATAGCTCAATTTATCAGTACACAAAAGAGTTGGTCGGATCAGATTGAAATCCTGAAGACTTCTACAGTTAAAAATTAATAAATACAAGTGTGACAGCCCCTTAAACAGTTTTTCAGTCTCTTCTCACCCCTTTGTATACTAACCCATAGGTGCATGGTAAACTTAAATGACTGCCAGATGTACCTTAGACAGAAATCATACCATCTTTCTCATAAAGAGACCGTAACCAAAAGTAACTGTGATTGGTCAATTAGCAGGATCAACATTTTCAGGACTTGACTACTCCTTTAAACATTTCCACTTCGAAGTATAACAATGACTAGTGAAATGCTTTCTGGATTTCAAAATAAACTTTTCAACCTCTGTTGAGACCAGAGATGGAATTCTATGCAGACTATGAATGACTAGATTGTAAAGAAAATTTAGCCAAACCCCTAAAGCAGATGCATAAGAAGTCTCATAAATGGCATTATGAAAGTGCATGAAGCCATCAGTCCTACCACTGTAAACAGATGCTTACTGGGAAGTTCTAATACGACTGCCTTTTGTAGAATCAGCCTTGAACCAGACAAGCAGGGATCCTTCTGGAATCCAAAGAAGCTCCTATACATTGTAGCATTTGAGCTGGACTCAATACAGACTTTTTTACATGTATCCTCATTCCAAAAGAGTTGAAGCATGTTATCTTGCTGATGTGACTCACACCTGATCTGACAGAATTCTTATGAACCACTTGTCCAAATAAGGATACATCTGTGAGCCTTAACAACAAGAGCAGACAGCCACAACTGCTCAGATCACTAGGGTGAGGAGCAGAAGGGTTTGGAGCCTCCTCATCATGAGGCATTATCTGAGGTCAGCGGAATCAAGAGATTGACAAATATTCCTCCATATTCCATTGCCTCTGGCTTGGGACATAAAAGCCCAGACAGATTGTAGAGTTATAGTGTGCATGCTCCTCACGCAGACACCAAGGATAGTAGTATGATCTAAACTGACACAAGAGAGAGGTGGAGGTCACATGGCAACTCTTGATGGCAGAAAAAGGAACAGAGGGATGGATGATTAGGAAGCAGGGCCTTTTACCCATACCGCTGTATTTCCAGAAAGTCTGGGGTACGTGTGCCCCTTAGTTTTTTTTCTACTGAAATGATTCTATGGCTTGTAAGACAAAGCAAGGCACTCCTAACAATGGGTATCTGCACAAGTAATTTCAGAAGGAGACCTTTCTGCTAAAATTTTGTTTTTCCTCACTGGCAAAAGCTTAGTGGGGCTCACCTCAGAAGCTTTTTGTGCATGTTCATATGAAGCTTTTATCAGAATCTAAACAGAATGATAGATTTTTCCCATGTCTAATTTCAATCTCCCACCAAGTATAGGACTATTCCCTACAGTACATATTCCAGTGCTTTATTCAATCTATTTTTAAGTAGCTCAAGTACCGGGGCTTCATTCAGACCACCTTGGGAGACTATTCCACAGACCAACAAACCACTCGGTCAGGCTATTTCCCTTGACATTCAAGTTTTCTGTTTTACTTTGATCTCATGGGCCCTAACTATGCCCCCTTGAAGAACATCAAATGACTTGTCTGACTCTTTGGCCTTCAAATATCTGTAACAGTTCTATTATCTTCATAGTCATGGGTTAGTTAGCCAAGCTATACATGTTTAGCTCTTTTAATATTTCATCATTAATCATTCTGGTCCAGCTCCTTAATTTTTGTTGCTCTTCTCTCATTTCTCTCAAATTTATCAATACTGTATCATTTTGGTAATGTGATGCTCAGAGTATCCATTACTGCCTTGTTCCTCTGTGTACACAACCCAAAAAGTGCATGGAACATTTTTCCTGCCACATCACATTTGTGACTCATTTAATTTGGTTAATAAACCAAGTTCTCAATTTAGCCTAAAGGGTTCACCATTGTTCCATTGCTTCAGACGGCAGGTAAATAACGGGGAATGGACTTTTCTACTTTCAGCTCAACTATTAAAAAACAATCACTAACTGGAAAATTTAATTCTGAGTATTTTCATTAAATTCTTAATGCTCTCTACACAAAAAGCAGTTTAAATTCTTAGCATCATGCAAAAAAACCCTGCAGTATTGTAATATCTGTAGTTATAAATGGAAGATATTTAAGATCATCTAACATTTCCCTTACAAGTGAAGGATTGTTCCCTACATTATGGGTCAGATTCTCAGACAGTGTAATTCATGCAGCCTCATTGATTTCAGTTGAGCTACGTTGATTCACATGTACTGAGAATCTGGTCCTATATTTTCTAATCCAACAATCTCATGTTCTTTAGATGTAGGGCTGCCAACTTTCAGCTCACACAAAACCGAATACCCTTGTCCCACCCCTTCTCTGAGGCCCCACCCCCAGTCACTCAATCCCCCACTTCCCTCTGTTGCTCGTGCTCCCCACCCTCACTCATTTTCACCAGGCTGTGGCAGGAGTTGGGGTGCGGGAGCAGGTGAGGGCTCTGGACTGAAGGTGTGGGTTCCAGGGTAGGGCCAGAAATGAGGGGTTCAGGGTGTGGGAGGGGGCTCTGGGCTGAGGCAGGAGGTTGGGGAGTGGGGGGGGTTGAGGGTGAAGTCTCCCGCTGGGGGTGCAGGCTTTGGTGTGGAGCCAGGGATGAGGGATTTGGGGTGTAGGAAGTTGCTCCATGCTGTGGCTGAGAGGTTCAGAGTGTGGGAGGGGGCTCTGGGCTGGGACAGGGGCGTGGGCGGTGTGAGGGCTCCAGCTGGGGGTGTGGCCTCTGGGGATGAGGGATTTGGTGGGTACAGGAGAGTGCTCTAGGCTGCGATTGAGGGGTTCAGAGGGTTGGAGGGGGATCAAGGCTGGGGCAAGGGGTTGGGGTGCAGGGGGTGTGTGAGGGCTCTGGCTGGGGGTGCAGGCTCTGGGGATGAGGGGTTTGGGGTGCAGGAGGGGGCTCCAGGTTTGGCAGAACTCAGGGCTAGGGCAGGGGGTTGGGCCTACCTTGGGTGGCTCCCCGTCAGCGGTGCAGTGGGGCTAAGGCAGGCTCCCTGCCTGTCCTGGCTCTGTGCTGTGCCCTGGAAGTGGCCAGCAGGTCTGGTTCCTGGGTGCGGGAGCCAGGAGGCTCCATGCACTGCTCTCGCCCACAGGCACCATCCCCCCACAGCTCCCATTGGCTGCAGTTCCTGGCCAATGGGAGTGCGGAGCTAGTGCTTGGGGCAAGAGCAGTGCGCGGAGCCCCGTGGCCTCCCCACCTCGGAGCTAGACCTGCTGGCTGCTTCTGGTGTGCAGCCTGGTGCCAGCACAGGAAGGGATTAGCCTGTCTTAGCACAGCTGACCGGACTTTTAATGGCCCGGTCGGCACTGCTGACCGGAGTTGCCAGGGTCCCTTTCCGACCGGGCGTTCCAGTCTAAAGCCGGACACCTGGCAATCCTATTTAGATACCTCAGTGTCTGGAATCCTGAATTCACCAGAAATCAAAAAGAGTTTAAGTTCTAGTGTGATCACCAACATCAGCTCCGATGCACCTAGGAAAAGCAGAGTCACCAAATCTCATCTCTCCTTGGATCTATGGTACCTATGTCTAGCCTTGAGTTTAATAGATTCTATTTATTTACTCAACCAATTTGTGACAGAAACTGTCTGATGTTTTTACTCATAATTATCTCATTCAGTCTTCAACAATTTCAAAAGAAGATCAAATTAGAGAAAAATGACACATACTTTTCTGTTTTAGAACGGTCAGTTGATAAATCATGCTTTCCTCTCTATGCTCTGGAATTAATGAAAGCAGTTCTATGAAAACTGACAGTAAAATGAATTTAGCTTACTTTTTCATTCTAAATTAAAACTGATTTTAAACATTCAAACAAGCAAAAAACACAAGGTAAAACTTCTACAGCAAAAGACCACTAAAAGATTAATATCTCTAGTTAATTAAGTTAATAGTGTATCTGTAGACTTCAATATTAAATTTCTACCCCAGCAGCACTGACTAAAGAGCTCACAAATAAAAGTTTAATTTGTTTAAAAAACAAAGTCAAATATAATCAGACCACAGAAGGACCTGAAACCACCTGTTACTTTGTTAATTAAGTAAACAGGTAACTGCTGTACAGCTTGGTTTATTTGGAGCATCAGAGCAGCTTTAGAAAACATCAACTTAACTATACTTACTCATTACATTTTTTATTTCTCTTTTATGTATGTAAGTAAAGACTATTCCCACTCAGTCTAATAAAGATCTAACGCCCTACCTATTCTGTGCAGCATTTCAGCTATGCCAGAACACATCACTCTGTTTTCTGAATTGCTTTTTAGTATATTACACTATTCCCTCATCACTGTAGATCGTAAAATCTTTGGGGCAAAGACCCTGTTTGTTATTTAGCATGGGTAGTTTAACTATTTTTCAGGGCAATATACAATTTTAGTGTTATATCCTGATTAATAAATATACATCCATTAATAATAATAATGCAGAATACCTTTTGGCACAGGACATGGAGCAGAATCGCTTTGACCGTAGGAACTTATTAGAATATCCCATTTTTCCACAAAACTCACACTTCAGGAGATCATTTTCCATTTCATCTAGTCCCTCTAAAGGAAGGAGTGACACACACACAAGAAGTCAGTTTGAATGATTTAAACATGATGCCATTTAATTTCTCATCTCTTAAGGAGGTAAAGTAAAATTCAAATATCAATATCAACACATTTAACTGAATGCCTTTAAGAAGGTAAACAGACAACTGATGCCAAACCAGTAGATTATACAAATCATTGTTTGACTAGAGTGAAGTGTTAATTTATCTAATGAATTTAGCCTCTTTTGTTTTGTTTCATTTGCATACTATCCATGAGCAGGTAATGTCCTCAAATGTAATCAACCTTCCCCCCGCCCCTGCCCCCTACCACAGACCGATCACAAACAGTTCACTGTGAGCATTTGACAATCCATATTCAAAATTCAAGCTCTGTCACTTAGCTGTAATATGTCACATCATTACATAGTACTATTTCTCTTCCATGAATGGATAAGAATAACTCTTATAATCAGGAGGAGGGTTGGGGAAGCCACCGAAGCACTGAATCTAAGCTATGGAACAGATAGCAATTAAAGAAGAGAATAAGCCTATAGAAAGGAAATTAATATTATTAAGATATTTTCCTTTCTAAGCCACACAGGCCATGTCCAAGCCAGGATTCCTAGAAATATTAGGCTACTGTAAGATGTATTGCCTATGTTTAGTTTATTTTTTCTTTTCAGACTGCATAATGTAGTGACATGTGTGATCAAATCTTTGTCAGGCTCCTTTGATTGTCTTTGTGCTCTGCCAAGTGGTTCAGGGAATCCTGTCCTCTCCTGTATTAAGCAGTGTTCCCATCTTATATAAAATATACTTCATTTACTGTTTTAATAACATTACTTCACATATTTTATCTCCATAGTCAGTAATGCATACTGATCACCACACTCGGTGATATAATTATATGTGAATGCATGGTCCTGGTTACAAAGGAAGTGGTCAGAGCCACTAAAAATTTAAATATTTTTCAGTACTATACTTTGATTAATTTCAACAGCAAATTTTGCAATTTACTGACACACAAGAAAACTTAAGGCATTGTACCCAACCATATCATATAACCCATAGAAATTATCCTTCAGCCTCCTGCCCTCTCACCTAGGAAACTTAATTCCCCAAAATATTATAAGAGAAATCAGACTATGTATCATTCCTGGAAAGTTAACAAATCCAGATTCTGCTGGAACCAGGAGGGAAGCAACTGCCAAAGATGAGGACCTGTCATGCTGTAGACACTGCTAGGTCGACCCAGCTACTGCCTCTCAAGGGGGTGCGTTTACTTAAGTGATGAAAAAATCCCTTCCATTGCTGTACCACGTGTTGCTGCAGCTGTGTTGCTGTAGCCCTTGTAGTGCAGACATACTTAATGATGCAGTGACATCTGCCTGCTTTTGGAGAACTGGAAACAGCTTTTAGAGGTGCGATCTGCCCCATTCATATCAACAGATGTTAACTTGGATGCCTGTGAGAATATTCTAGATGTCACATTGTTGTTAACTTCAGAGCATGTAAGAAAGGAAAGGAGAAGAGCTGATCATATTATGGATAGCTGAACAATCTATTTTGACAGTTTATTTTGGTGCCACTTCTTCCCAAACAAAGAGGAGCTCAGCAGGGCCTCTGAGCCCCTCAAGGGGGAGCCAAGCTCAGGAAGCCCAGCAGGGCACACAAGCTTCATTGAGGGGAAAATAAGCCTGAGAAGCACAGTAGATCATGTGTTGTGCTGTGCAAATGGGTGTTTCCAAGTCCCACTGAAGAGGAGCCAAGAGCAAGAAGCACAGATAGCATGCCTGGTCATATTTTGACCATCTGCACAAACTACTATGAGCAGCATCTTACCTGGGTAGATCCGGAAAGAGTACCACCAGCTTTTTCCCCCCACTCCCCAGTCTGACCCCTGGCCTCAGACAAGTTATCCTCATGCACAATTATTGAAATATAACACTACTGGTGCTAATGATCAAGAGAGCAAATTTAACATTTATATTCTGTACGCATTCATGTGAGTAAAGCTCAACTGCTTACAAAACGGGTGCAAGCATGTTCAAAAACAAATTCATTTTAAAATGCAAGTGAACATATAAAGAGGGGGTTTTTTGTTTTAGTTTCTGGGCCCCCCCCCCCGTTATTTAGCTATTCCCCCCCCCAAAAATTAGGCAATTCACTGAATACATCTTACTTCTTGCTCTTTGTCCCTTTTCATTTATATTTAGCAACACAAAATTTCCACTTTGTTTGCAACTATGGTTGCTATTTTTTGGTTCTAGACTGTTCATGGAACTCTAATACTAGCTAACGAAGATTCTGGTATGGCAGTTTAACACAAGGGTCAGGTATCTGAACCTTTAATATTCTGACTGGGTTATATTTACTCATCGAGAATCTTGCCCAATGCTAACTCTGCTACATTGTCAATAGGATAGCAAACTGAAAAGCACTATTTCAACAAGAAGAAATCAAACAATGCTGAATAGATTAATGTGGGGAAAAAACTTTAAGGTCCCAGAATCCTAATATATTATTAAAGCTAAACTCATTTTAAGAATGAAAATATTACCATGTTATATACCAGTTTTATAAACTCATACAGTATTACAACTGCAGTAACAATGGAGAAAGGACCTCAATCTCATCTGATTAAAAACTGGAAAATGCATCAGATCTCATCAACTTTGCAACTGAAGTAATGAAAACCACACAAATGTACCCTCAAAATCAATCTCTCTTCCTACGGGAAAAAGGAATATACTGATACAATTCAACCTAGATCACGCTACCTGCAAAAAGAAGAAGACCCTTAGAAGACTGCCGGGAAAATGGGTAAAAAAGAAACTGTTCTTTTGCATATGAAGCACTTCTTCCTTTTACCCACAGCTTAACTGTTGAACGATAGGAAAAGGGATTAAATTATTTGATCTTGGTGTTTGTGAATGGCTCTCAATGCTGGGTAAACGTTTTCTGACTCATCAACTGAATAACTGCAGAATGTTTATGATACAACAACAAACCGTTAGAAATAATAACTACAATGAAAATGTTTGAACAGTGCTGTAAAATAGATAAACTGTCTGCTTGAAATCTGCTCAGGAACAAATGCTTATGGTTAAGGCTACGATTTAGTCACGGAATCCATGACTTCCAGTGACCTCCATGACTTCAGCGGTCAGGCAGCCCCACAGCTCTTGCCGCCACAGGTGGTGGGGGGAACCCCCATGCTCCACGCGGGGTCGGAGAAACCCTGAGCTCCTGGCCGCAGCAAGCCTCTGGAGCTGCGAGTGGTGGGGGTACCCTGCAGCTCCCAGCTGAGATGGGGGTGGGAGCACCCCAGAGCTCCTGACCCCCAGAGGCAGCGGCGGCCCCCTGGAGCTGAGGTGGCAGGGGTACCTCACAGCCCTCAGCTGCTGCTGGCGGCTCCTAGCCCCTGTGCAGCTGCCTTACTTCAGGTGGTGTGGGGACCCACAGATCCCCATTTTGTCCTGGATATTTTTAGTAAAATCATGGACAGGTCACGACTTCCATAAATTTTTCTTTTTTGCCCATGACCTTTTACTAAAAATATCCATGACAAAATCTTAGCCTTACTTATTTGGAATTGGCGGCTGTGATTGCAGAGCCATTGGCCATTATCTTTGAAAACTCGTGGCAAACGGGGGAAGTCCCGGATGACTGGAAAAAGGCTAATGTAGTGCCAATCTTTAAAAAAGGGAAGAAGGAGGATCCTGGGAACTACAGGCCAGTCAGCCTCACCTCAGTCCCTGGAAAAATCATGGAGCAGGTCCTCAAAGAATCAATCCTGAAGCACTTGCATGAGAGGAAAGTGATCAGGAACAGCCAGCATGGATTCACCAAGGGAAGGTCATGCCTGACTAATCTAATCGCCTTTTATGATGAGATTACTGGTTCTGTGGATGAAGGGAAAGCAGTGGATGTATTGTTTCTTGACTTTAGCAAAGCTTTTGACACGGTCTCCCACAGTATTCTTGTCAGCAAGTTAAGGAAGTATGGGCTGGAAGAATGCACTATAAGGTGGGTAGAAAGCTGGCTAGATTGTCGGGCTCAACGGGTAGTGATCAATGGCTCCATGTCTAGTTGGCAGCCGGTATCAAGTGGAGTGCCCCAAGGGTCGGTCCTGGGGCCGGTTTTGTTCAATATCTTCATAAATGATCTGGAGGATGGTGTGGATTGCACTCTCAGCAAATTTGCGGATGATACTAAACTGGGAGGAGTGGTAGATACGCTGGAGGGGAGGGATAGGATACAGAAGGACCTAGACAAATTGGAGGATTGGGCCAAAAGAAATCTGATGAGGTTCAATAAGGATAAGTGCAGGGTCCTGCACTTAGGACGGAAGAACCCAATGCACAGCTACAGACTAGGGACCGAATGGCTAGGCAGCAGTTCTGCGGAAAAGGACCTAGGGGTGACAGTGGACGAGAAGCTGGATATGAGTCAGCAGTGTGCCCTTGTTGCCAAGAAGGCCAATGGCATTTTGGGATGTATAAGTAGGGGCATAGCGAGCAGATCGAGGGACGTGATCGTTCCCCTCTATTCGACATTGGTGAGGCCTCATCTGGAGTACTGTGTCCAGTTTTGGGCCCCACACTTCAAGAAGGATGTGGATAAATTGGAGAGAGTCCAGCGAAGGGCAACAAAAATGATTAGGGGTCTGGAACACATGACTTATGAGGAGAGGCTGAGGGAGCTGGGATTGTTTAGCCTGCAGAAGAGAAGAATGAGGGGGGATTTCATAGCTGCTTTCAACTACCTGAAAGGGGGTTCCAAAGAGGATGGCTCTAGACTGTTCTCAATGGTAGCAGATGACAGAACGAGGAGTAATGGTCTCAAGTTGCAGTGGGGGAGGTTTAGATTGGATATTAGGAAAAACTTTTTCACTAAGAGGGTGGTGAAACACTGGAATGCGTTACCTAGGGAGGTGGTGGAATCTCCTTCCTTAGAGGTTTTTAAGGTCAGGCTTGACAAAGCCCTGGCTGGGATGATTTAACTGGGAATTGGTCCTGCTTCGAGCAGGGGGTTGGACTAGATGACCTTCTGGGGTCCCTTCCAACCCTTATATTCTATGATTCTATGATTTGTTAGTATACAAAGAACCCTGGAGGGTCCTGTGAAAAATGAAACAGTATTCAGTGTAACTACTAAATTTAAGATGACTTGCTAATTACGCCACTGAAACTGCAAATGCTCTAAAGCATACACCAGAAGTAAAAGTCCTTAATATTTTTAAAATCTCACATGAAGTAAAAAATTAGTAATTACCAATGAGTCAGGCAATTGCCATCTTGGTAGTCTAATAGCTTAATATAAATCAAGAAGTAGAGCGCTCCACACACAAACATGAGGTAGGAGATTTACAAAGCTGTTGCAAGGTAAGTTTTGTCATTTATTAGTCTAGAAAGGTATTGTATATAGTATTGTTAAATTAACAAAAAAAAGTCACAAGTAACAGAACTTACCACACATATAACAACTTTGAAAGCCTCCTGCCTCTCTTATGCTGTTCATGTCATCAGACTGTACTTCCTGCCAGAAGAATCAGTAAAATGGCAGCACTCACTGAGAGACACCAGCATCATTCACAATTATGAAGACAATAAAACAATGATAGATAGTTCTAAAATATTTTGTAAAATATTCTGTCAGTTATCATCTTTTCCTTTACCATACTCCATATCCCTCAAATGTTAAGCAACATGCAAGCCAAGGAGTTAAGTAGCTTTCTCAGGGAAAAAGACAGGGCTCTGAAGAATCTTGCCTACATGCGATACGGAAAGGCCAGGGGCTCAAATCTCATTGGTTGTACACATTATAGAGTACAGAATGTTCCACTGATGACTACCAAATAGCTGAACATGGTGAAATTGCTGTGTTTTTTCATTTTAAAATATGTAGGAAATGTCATTTAAAAAACTGCATTAAAAGAGTGTTACGGTTTCAAAGTGAAATCCTCAAACATCAGGAAATTACTAAGTTAAGGCTGTCCTTGCAAAATCAAAAAAGGTTTTGGAGGACTTTTATGAGCCATATCAGCAGTTGTGATCTCTCAGACTAAAACAAGTCAGAAAACCCTGAACTGGAAGCTTAAAATTAATTTTGTATTTAATTTTTAGCTATCATCTCACATGTTTTGACTTGCAACAGGACTGCAAACTACTATATCCCATTTCAATAAAGTGTTTCCAAGATAAGTAAGTTATCGATGTGTGTCTGTTCCAATGTGTTACTGTAATGAACTACTAAGATGAGAATTTACATCCATTTCAACCTCAAGGCATCAGGCCCCAAATAGCGTTTGAGCGGTGACCTGAATCTCAGCTTTAAATAAAAATCCAATAGTGATTAAATTTTCTATTATGTCAACATCAACAAATATTCCTCTTAGCTTCAGAACCGTTAGAAACACTATGCTTTTTCCCTCCCCAAAAACCTGCAATTCTTCTCTCTTAAGCAGTGGCAAACAATGATAGTAAAAACAATGTTCCAGAAGTTAATAATTAAATAGGTTGAATTCTGAGCTTGTTTGTCATTGAGATATACTATAAATACAGTATGTTTTCCCATCACTTCTATATCAGTTTCACTAGTGGGAGAACCGCAGACGTGAACAATTCCAATTGCTATAGAGGTCTCTGAGGCCCTTATGAGGAAAGATTAGAAAAAGATGTACATATGGTACAGCTTGGATAACAAACAACTCATTTGGGTCAGGGGAGAGGACAAGCTAACAATATATGGATATTTGAAGAACAGAAAGGAATTATGGTACAAGGAGGTATAAACTAGAAGCTGAGGTGGAAAATTAAGAAAATCATAGTACCAGAAACAACTTCCTGACAGCGTCAGCTGTATTAGTCTGTGGAAGAGACCACCAGAGGAGATGATGGAATTTGGGACTTTAAAATTAGACTGAAAATATATTAGAAAATGTAAGGTGGAGAATAATTCACCATTGACTGGGGCCTGGACTAGGAGGTCTAAATCTCTTCTCTCTCTCTGATCTATGATGCTATCCATACTAAGGCTTGAACACAGGATTTTGATAAATTGGAGAAGGTTCAGAGAAGAGCGACAAGATTGGTTAAAGGATTGGAAATCATGCGTCAGTGATAAACTAAATAGATTGAACACCTGGAATCTAACAAAGAGAAGGCTCAAGGCTGATTTAATCACAGGCTACAAATACCTACCATGGGCAACAAATATTTGATAATGGGATCCTCAATGTAGAAGACATAGGTGTAACAGGATCCAATGGTGGGAAGTGGAAGCTATACAAATTCAGAGTGGAAATTCAGACTGGTTATTAATCATCGGAGTAAGTTAGCCAGGGTTGTAGTAGATTCATTCTTGATTTAAAATTTGCCAGTGATGAGGAATGTTTTTTTAAAAGATATGCTCTAATTCAAATAGAGGTTATTTTGTGGAAGTCCTATGGCTTGTGTTATGAAGATCAGACTAGATGATCACAGTGGTCCCGTCTGGCCTTTGAATCTATGAACCATAGTACTAAAATAATCCATGTTAAAAAAATGTTTGAAAACCAGGGTTCTATCAAAACTTTCTGTAACTGTTTTACAATGGAGCTACTGTCAGCATGGTCTCTTTTTTGAGAGCTGTGCTAGCCCAAGCTATGCTATACTACTTAGGTAAGTCACATCTGATGAAGTGAGCTGTAGCTCACGAAAGCTCATGCTCAAATAAATTGGTTAGTCTCTAAGGTGCCACAAGTACTCCTTTTCTTTTTGCGAATACAGACTAACACGGCTGTTCCTCTGAAACCCGTCAACTGCATAGTTTCTTAAAACAGTGTGCATCCACACTGAGCACCATTACAATCTGTGTTTGGCTATAACTGTTTGAAAATGGTTTCAAACATCATCAAAAGTGTCGAAAGGATCTAAGATAGAGAAACAGTACAGATGTACAGACTGCAGTCTATGCCATAGCATCGACTAGAATAATGTGTATTAAATTAAATCTACGAACCTTCTGTAATTATGTCCTCTATCTCTGTGTCTGAGGAGTTCTCTGCATGTTTTGTATTGTTCTGCAGCTCTGACTCAACACACACAACACTCATGACCTGACCCTCCATTAGGAGCCTTTTCTTCGCAGGTTGCTCAACCAGCAGAGATGAACGACTTACCTGTTATAATAAAAACAGAGCAGTATGAAACAACAATTAGAAGAAAATGGCACATGGTATTTAGCACTTGTAGTTGAGCCACTACAACAGTGTTTGCATTCTTTATCCTGTTCATTGTTATGATACATAGTGCCACTCATGCACACATCATTTTATAGACAAATAAAAGGACAGGTTCCTGCCCTATGGATCTTACAATCAAAACTAGACTTAACACAGGAAGACACTATAGTAAGCAAACGGAGATGAGGAAGGTGAATGAGTCCATGAGAGTTATCCAATAAAGTGATCAGCAATGCAGAAGACATCACACTTTTCAAAACTACAGACCCAGTAGTCTGGAACTGGCCATTTCTGGCTTTAAAAGTTTCCAGTGGTTAGCAACAATCTGCTCTTACAGGGCCAACTCCTGTCAGTGTTTTGTCAGTGACTTTAATGGGATCAAAGTTTGTCCAACACATCTTAACACCAAAATCATAGTATATGCAGAGCACCATCTCAGATATCTACATCAAGTAATTTTTCTATAAGATGGATAAAAATAAAACTAAATATTATAAACAATACTACTAAAACTATTTCATCTCACGATATACATGTCCTCACAAAAACATATATACTTTTAAATAGCCCTCTTTCCCGCTCCCCCAGAAAAATTCTCTGCTATGGTTCTATTAAAAACTAGTAACCTGCCATTCAATTATACGGCTGGACGAAAAAAGTAGCATGAATTCGAACTATACACTTAAGATAAACCTGATTCACATATGCTGTAATACATGTAAATATGCAGATATAAAATATGCTGTAAAAGTGCTGTAACAAATTGGCTATAAAACAGAAGGAAAAGAGGGTCAATCCCAAAATTCTGAAAAGTTATTCAGAATACAAAGAACTTATCTATGTAATAGCCACAAATAACTGAACCAGATTTGTTTGCCTTTTAAAACATATATTAATAGCTTTTAACTTTTACACTTACAGGAAATGGCTCTAAACCCTCCTGAATCACAAAGCCCTCAATAACATGGGTCAGGATCTGTGGTTTAACAATAGCCTGTGGAGGTTTGTTTTCTAGGCTAGGAATGCTATTAGGCATTGATGTGATGTTACTCCTTGTGGCAGCTGCTGGAAGCAAAAGAGGAGGTGGTGGAATAGAGGCATGTGAAGGGTCTGATGGAGATTTAATTACTGAGGCACTGACTGATGATGCCATTGCAGGAAGTCCCACTTGTTCTGGAAAAAATAATTTAAAATAATATATTATACTTTTAATCAGTGTCCAGATATTTTCACAGAGTTATAGAAAGCAGAGATGGAAAACACCTACATTACTGCATTCCTGGTCTTGTCAATGCAGATTTTTTCCCTATGGTTTATATTATAAACTTTAAATTATACCAATGATAGGACAACTTTACTTTCCGTGGAACAGTCTTCCAAGGAAAATAAAGTTATTCTAATACCCTGCACCATTAGGACATTTTTCCTGACATTCAACCTAAATCTCCCTTTGTTCAGCATCTCCCAGCTATACCCACCTTTGTCCACAACAAACATCTTTAAAATATTTGTATCATACAATCCTTAGCCATCCATCTAGATTGTAAGTCCACAAGGCAGGAACAGAGACCAACATTTAAAACTTGGGAGTCTACAGCTAGGCTCCTAAAACCATATTGAAGCACTTCACTAGATACGGTCTGTTTTCCAGTGGTCTTATTGGACAAACCCTGTTCCTACTGAGCTGCAAATTCATAAACTCATTAGAAAGCCAGGCCACTTCTATTTAGGTGCCTAAATATGGATACAGGAGCCCAGCTGTAGGCACTCAGATTTGAAAATTTTGGCCTGTGTCTCCTAGTGGCCATCTAAGATGTCATGCACACTGTGATGGGGCAAAGCCAGATGGCTATAGAAAAGCAGTGGGAGATAGATATATTAGCTCCAGGCTAAACAAATCCCTGGTCCCAGGATAAGTGAAATGGCAGCTGCTCCAGCTCAATTAAGACACCTGGGGCCAATTAAGAACTTTCTAGAAGGCAGGGAGAATGCTAGGTAGATCGGGACACCTGAAGCCAATCAGGGGCTGGCTGAAACTAGTTAAAAGCCTCCCAGTTAGTCAGGTGGGTGTGCATGTCAGGAGCTGTGCTGTTGGAGAGACTGAGCAGTACACACCATATCAGGTATAAGGAAGGAGGCCCTGGGGTAAGGGTGAAGTGGAGCTTGAGGAAGTGAGGGCTGCTGTGGGGGAAGTAGCCCAGGGGATTGTACATGTCATGTTTATAAAAGGTCAGCTACCATAGCTGATACTATTAGGGTCCCTGGGCTGGAGCCTGGAGTAGAGGGTGGGCCCAGGCCCCCTCCCCCACCACCTTTTCCCCCTGATTAATCGCTGAGACTGGGAGACAACAGAGACTGTGCAAGGAAGGATAACTTCTCCTCACCTCCCTCGCTGGCTTATGATGAAAATGTCTCAGTAGACTGTGACCCTTGTCTCTAGAGAGAGAGAAGGGTTACGTGGAGGGTCACAGTGAGCCTCTGAGGCTAATGAAATCCGCTAGGAAACACGGGACCCATGGAGGCAAGGACAGAGCTTTGTCACAACACTTATGGTATATAAATAAATTCACTATTATTCTAATCTTCATCTCAGCGGGTTAATTATTTGTTTCAGTGCATCAATAATATTCACTTCTTGTCTCTTATTCTATACAAAAAAACCCTCAAAACCAACAAGGTCTGCATATGCCTTAAACTGAAAAACCACAAGTGTATTGCTGTTTCCTTTGTCCTTCCATGCCCTAGTCCCTCTTTATTTGCTGTCACATACACACATTCAGAGGTGTAATGGTCCCCTTGCCAGATACTTCTCTCATCTTTCCAGCCCAAGAAGCTGATTGGACTGATACAAATCTCTTAAGAAGACTTAATTAAAATAGTAGAATAACTTGCAGTTAAAGAGATTTGTAAATGTGTAATATATATTAGGATTTTTAATTTACTCTTATTCTAAACACAGTGTTTGCTCTGAAGTTTCTCATCAAAACAAATGAAGGCCTGGGATAAGATGGGGTTGAAAGTAACAGGAATTAAGTTAGGCATTCTGTAGTGTAGAATACTGACACCTGCTTTGATACTTTTTGAGGTTCTACAGTGGTTCTATGCTAGAAACAGACCTGTGGCTCTGAGGAAGAACACAAAGAAATAGCTGAAGGGTTGGAACCTTTTGAATGAGTGGCACTGCAGGTTTGCTTATGTAATTAACTCCTCTGTTTGCTGAAACTTGAAAAACACATATCTGAGACCATTTCTTTTGGACTCCCCCAACAGACTCAGGTATGTCTGGGTTGTTTCATAACAATTACTAATAACAGTTATACAATACACACAAAGGGCGCTCTAGTTGGAGTGGGAGCAAAACAATAGTGGAACCTGTGCAAAATGACTTCTTCAGTCCAGGCAGAATCCCTTCTAGCCTTCCAGGAGGGCATAATACGCTGGCTCCTCCAGGCAGGAGTAAAGTATACTTGTACCTGATGTTGGCTAGTATTTGTTTTTGACTGAGTATAGACGGTAACTGATCCTGATACCAGTCAGCATTCTCTCCTAGCATGTGAAGGCAATAAATAAATCATGTCCTGCTGTCTGAGGGAAGAGACTTTTTTATGCTTTCTTCTCCCTGGTCTATTCCAGGACCTGATCCTACAATGTGCGGAGCACCTCCTGTGATGATGAAAATGCTCTGAACTCCCTCTGATTTAGGGAGGAATTGAAGGTACTCAACACCTCATAGGAGTACTCATCTACCTGCAGGATCAGGACCTAGTGCAACAGAATGGAAGATACAGACAAAGAATATTCTCTATAATTAAACTAAATATATTTACTGGTTCCTTTTGTCTCACAATATGCCATTCTCATGACCTACCAAAAATTGAAGTGAATTGGAATAATTACAATGCAGCTGATATCCTTATAGCATTTTCCAGATCAGCTTGTATGATCAGGGCTGCAGTATGTTGGGGGCAGTTCACAAACCAATGAAGATTACTACTGTTATTAATTAATGAATTAATTGTGGTAGTGCCTATGGGCCCCAGTCAAGACAGGTGTTCCATTTGCGAGGTGCTGTACAAGCAAATATGGAAGCAGAGTTGCTGCCACAGAGACCTTGTGTCTAAGAGGTCAAATGATATACAAGCTGTACGTCATTTATCTTTTTGTTTGTTTTTAATATAAAAATCAATTAAAATTAATCAAAGCATATTCTCTCTATATAAATAGCTTTCTTAAAATTAAAATTCTTTTTCATATATTTCTTTATAACTGAATATATCATTCTACCATCCTGCCTTCTAGTATATTTCATGAAGCTTCATTAACTTAGAGAACTATCTCATCAAACCGTAAAAACAGGTGAAAGTCAGATACTTTTGCTTTAAACATTTCAAGCTAGGAAAGTTACCTGATCAGAAAGAGATTCAGGCTGACCTAATTCCACCAGTCTCTGCACTTGCACTCACCTGACAAAGACTCCTCTGAAGCAAGCTCCTCGCCATTCCCTAAGGTTATGACTGGTGGAGACAAGGTTGGTGGGGTCGGGGTTCTAACCATACGGACGCATTCGGACTCCTCTGGCATCTCTTCCTCACACACGTTCTCCACTTGGTAAATCTGCATTGAACAGATCACTGGTTTAAGAAAGATTTCCATTCTTCCATAGCACCCCAAAACAGATACATGAATGTAATCTTGACAAACAAATTTCCAATTGATTTTTAAAAATATATTATCACCTGTTAATAATATATACTTTCATTTTTCCACACTACAGACATGCCCCTCCCCCCCATCTATCCATGAGTGGATTCTGATGGCATAGTAGTAATGAGAGCAAAACTATCAGCCAAATTCTAAGACATGTATACCATTCTCTTCACAGACAGGTGGTCCAGAGAACTTAACTGGCCCTCCCAATCTCTAATCTCTCTAGTCTTCCATGTTTTATTATATATATTTAAAGACTATCACTAGATTTAAGCAATAAAACAGAATGGCAATCTTGGTAAAGAGGACATGGATTGAAATCGCAACACTTTACATTATAAGATCCCTATTTTCATTGTTTATAATTTTGCCAAACTAACTGTTTCAGCTAAAATTTAATGTGCCAAGTGTGTCTGCCTCATACTGAATGTTTTTGGAAAGTTTCAGCAAACACTGTACACCGATTTCTCAGAATGAGTTTAGGGGAAAATGCAATGTTTTGCCCATGTTAAAAAAAAAAATCTTATAACTGTTTCATTGAGAAGTTCTATCATCCCCATGCTTTGGACCAGAAGTACTTGAAATTTGGCAGGTGGGGTCACCTGGGAATGAGGGATGTGACTTTTAACATCCTCATGAAAGTCCACCCACATTTGGTCAGGTTATAAACCTCTGAAAATTGCAGTTTGCACATGGCCAGTGGAGATTTGTTAGAGTTAGGCAGCTAAATTCTCTGAAGATTCTGTCTGTACTGAGCATGCGCCATCCTGGGTGTGCAGGGTCTGAGTGAGACCTTCCCATCAATTTCTCCTCCCAGCTCTTGGGGCACCAGGCACAGGAACTGAGAGCACGATAACTATCTCTCCTGTGCTCACAATGCTCGCCCTGCTGGCGTTCAGGATGCATAGAAAAGGAGGGGTCCTACGGGAAAAATGTGAGATCATTCCATTAAACACTATCATAATGCATACGCACAAGGGGGTCAAATTAAAGATGGCACAGGCAACCTTAATTCTGCCATTTCCTAACTTTTGAGTGTTTGACTTTGCAAACTTAACATTCTTTTAATGTCATTTTTTTATACAATCTTAGGTAAAGAGTTTACAAATTATACCTTTTCATTAAAAATACAGAGATTCACAGTATCCAACAAAAAAGGCTTCATGTTAATAGGGGAAGTTATATTTTACAATCAATATTTCTGAACTGAGAGCAAGAATCAATTCAGTTAGGAGTCTTTAATGTACAAGGTCTCCAAAATTATGTGCAAACACCAGAGTGCTTTCCTTCTCATACAGCTGCATACTACAGTAAGCAAAACAAGGATTTCAAGAGAACATGCCAAGTTTGTCAGCTAAAGTTGTTATAAATGATTTTCTCCAACACTATAATGTACATTGAAGTGATTTACTGACAGTCAACTCAGGAGATTAGGGAGTTCAACTCCAAGCTGTCAAGAGACACCTTGCTTCCATCCCCAGGCCTTGTCCCTGCCTAAACTAACAGGTGACTGGGATTAACATTACCTTCCAAATGCAGATCAAACAATAACTACAGTAGTATTTTCCTCAGTCTGGTGATAGCCTGAAACAAAGCCTATGAAAGGTGTGAATTCCCCTGCACCATTAATCTCATTGGGGTGTTATGTCTAAAGCCTAATGATGATGCTTTAAATGTCAGCATTAGCTATTTCACAACTGATCATTTTAGTAGATGGTGAGAGTGAAGATCATGAGGGTAGAAGAGAGCTGCTGCAGAGATGAAATCCAGAAGGAAGAAAGAGAGACAGAGTTGCAGATGGAGAAGAGAGAAAGAACAAAAAAAAAAAAAAGGAGGATAGAGAAGATAGAGAAACAAAAAGGAATGAACACCTGGGGTCCTGAATACATAATACTAAATAACATAATAAATAATGATAATTGGTAGCCATCCTCTGATAACATCCTTAGAACAGGACCTTACTCTATAAGTAGTCCTGTTAAAATCAGTGGGACTGCTCATCATGAGAAAGGGCACCAAAATCCAGTCCTAAAAGTTTACTGCTATATAAAGGTCATATTCTACACTTGATATTTGTGCAAACCTCCCATTCACATCAGGGAGTTCCACTGAGGGTAGTATACAGTCCTAAATGTATACTCTGACCCACAGATTATAATTAAAAATGGAATTCAGTCCTCCACATGGAAAGAGTTTGATACCCCTGTTCTGCTTCAGGAATATTAAGCACGGTCATACAGACAGACAATAGTCCTTTTCCACATAAAAGGTCTGTAAGAAAAATGCATATAGTTTCCAAGTATTTGTGCTCAGGGAAGAGGGGAAGAATTTAGAAGAAGTCCACTGTATAAATAATACATGTCTGAATACATCAGAATAAAAGATCAGAAGCAAATAATACATAATCTTGTTCACATTACAGTTAGAACTGTTGATTAATCGCAGTTAACTCATGTGATTAACTTAAAAAAATTAATCACAATTAATCGCAGTTAAACAATAGAATACCAATTGAAATTTATTAAATATTTTTGGATGTTATTCTACATTTTCAAATATATTGATTTCTATTACAACACAGAAAAGCAAGTGTACAGTGCTCACTTTGTATTATTTTTTATTACGAATATTTGCACTGTAAAAATGATAAACAAAAGAGTATTTTCCAATTCACTTCATACAAGTACTATAGTGCAATCTCTTTATCATGAAAGTGTACCTTACAAATATAGATTTTTTTTGTTACATAACTGCACTCAAAACTAAAACAACGTAAAACTTTAGAGCCTACAAGTCCACTCAGTCCTACTTCTTGTTCAGGCAATCGCTAAGACAAACAAGTTGTTTATATTTACAGGAGATACTTCTGCCTGCTTCTTATTTACAATGTCACCTGAAAGTGAGAACAGGCGTTTGCATGGCACTTTTGGAGCTGGCGTTGCAAGGTATTTACGTGCCAGATATGCTAAACATTGGTATGACCCTTCATGCTTCAGCCACCATTCCAGAGGACATGCTTCCATGCTGATGATGCTCGTTAAAAAAAAAATGCGTTAATTAAATTTGTGACTGAACTCCTTGGGCGGGGGGGGGGGGAAATTATGTCTCTCCTGTTCTGTTTTACCAGCATTCTGTCATATATTTCATGTTATAGCAGTCTTGGATGATGACCCAACACATGTTTGTTTTAAGAACACTTTCACAGCAGATTTGACAAAACGCAAAGAAGGTACCAATGTGAGATTTCTAAAAATAGCTACAGCACTTGACCCAAGGTTTAAGAATCTGAAGTGCCATCCAAAATCTGAGATGGACAAGGTGTGGAGCATGCTTTCAGAAGTCTTAAAACAGCAACCCGTCTATGCAGAAACTACAGAATCCGAACCACCAAAAAAGAAAATCAAACTTCTGCTGGTGGCATCTGACTCAGATGATGAAAATGAACATGTGATGGTCCACTCTGCTTTGGATCGTAATCGAGCACAACCTGTCATCAGCAATGGACAAATGTCCGCTGGAATGATGGTTGAAGCATCAAGGGACATATGAATATTTAGCACATCTGGCATGTAAATATCTTGTGACTCCTGCTACAACAGTGCCATGCCAACACCTGTTCTCACTTTCAGGTGACATTGTGAACAAGAAGCAAACAGCATTATCTTCTGCATATTGTAACTAAACTTGTTTGTCTGAGTGATTGGCTGAAGTAGGACTGAGTGGACTTGTAGGCTCTAAAGTTTTACACTGTTTTATTTTTGAATGCAGGTTTTTTTGGTACATAACTCAACATTTGTAAATTCAACTTTCATGATAAAGAGATTGCACTACAGTACTTGTATTATGTGAATTGAAAAATACTATTTCTTTTGTTTTTTACAGTGCAAATATCTGTAATAAAAATAAAGTGAGCATTGTACACTTTGTATTCTGTGTTGTAACTGAAATGAATATATTTGAAAATGTAGAAAACAACCAAAAATATTTAAATAAATGGTATTCTATTATTGTTTAACAGCGCAATTAATTTTTGTAATCGCTTGACATCCCTAATTATAGTAGCACTAACTCTCTTTGGAAATGTTCTTTGGAACAGATACAGTTAAATTGCTGGCCCATCAGAACTCAAGCTGTGACGGATACAAGAGACCCCTACTGAGCTTATGAAAAACAGCTGGTCACAGAATAGGAAACTGGGGCGGGGGCAGGGGAAGGACATCTTATTTTTGTATGTATATTGAAATATAATCCTGTACAATCCAAAGAAATTAAACACACTTCTGGTTCAAGTCAAATATTTTTCACAAGCTCATTGGGGATGATCCCAGCTGGCTGGCTGAACAGTGATTTATACTCTGCCTCTCTTACATATAATATTTAAAAGGTAATGAAGATGTCACAGTGTTTCCCTTATGTATTTTCACCATTTTTTTCAAGTCTAAATAAGCTTAGGCGCACTATTTATCTAATAAACCTTCTCTAAATTATCTTCCCTCCTCCACCATTATGTGAGCATAGAGGGCTTATTCATTTTCCTTGTGTGTACTGATAAGTATAGATGTTTGATTTCCATTCTTAGTTTTTCACCTTTGATGCTCTTTTCGGTGTAAATTCTCGCCTGTTTAATATTTCTTTAATTTTAATATTTCTAAATGTTTCTAATATTTCCAGTTTGAAACATAACACCACCCTTTCAATATTTAATAGATGGACACATGCAACACCACAAAGAACATATAGTGTGTGAGGAAATAAATGTATTTATGAATATATAAGAAAATATGCCTGAATGAAAAATAATATTTTGTCAGTGTGAATGAGTGAAAAAAATCAATGGAAATGCATAGGTGGATGGTGTGTGAATGAGTAAGTGCTTTAATTATGACAGCAATAGGAGCTGTCAAGTAGGCGCACATCAGGAAAACCAGATGACAAAGGTTCTAATCCAGCAAAACACTTAAGCATAGTCTTATCTTTAAACATATGAGTAATTCCACTGTCTTAAATGTGACTACTCATGCTTGCTGTTAAGCACCTTCTTAAGTGCTTTGCCGAATCAAGGTCAAAATGACTGAGCCACAACTGAAAACAACAACTAAAAAATAATAAGAGCTAAGACTAGCAAAGAACAACTTGATTAGGGCAGTGGCTGTGAACACAAAGTGGGCATAAACGTTCCCTAAATCTCTCTTGGTGGAGAGGCTTTTCAGTTACAGTACCAACTGAACTATCCAAAATTCAGTTACCCATAACTTGCTTTTATGTTCCCTGATGTCTATTATATTGAAAATTCCCAAAGCCTTGATTAGACAAATGTATCTGAATATTAAAATTGCACTGTATTTAATATAGAGGGCCAAAATTTCATAGTCCAGAGGGGAACTTTCCACTGGCATAAACCTGGTGCAGACAGCTCTTGCACCAACTGTTCCCCACTCCGGCATAAGGGGAAGAAGGGATTATGTTAATGACATTCCACGGGTATGGGGGAGCTATTAATTCCCTGAGGGACCTTATGACAGTGGTGTAAGTTACAGCTGCTCCTGTGCAGTTCTCTGTGAACCTCCATCTCCTTCAAATGAACTCAAGTAGAACTTGTGGTAGGATGCAGAATATGCCCTAAAAGGCTGTCTGGCATTTGGCTCATATTCCTGGGCTTCACTCAATTTTCACTTGGTTTTGAACAACAACAAAACATTTTCTTCAAAGGATATGGTTTCAAAATGGAAAAGTCAGTTCTGCAAAGAGAGTAATATAACTTGCTTATACAGCAATAAAATGAGTGTCAGACTGGGAGCCAGCTTTTCAACACACCACTTTGTTCAGGTGCCATGCAGTAATGCCAGTTTTACCAAACCTGTAAATGATTTTGAGAACAGATTCTTCTTTCCTTACACACACAAGAGATTTTTGTCATCTATGGCCATAATAGAATGTTGTTGGAAAAAGGGTTTTTCACTTTCAGTTAAACATCAAAACCAAAAAGAAAATTTCTGAGGGCTTACCACAGGGGTTTCAACAGGTACCGATGGTTGTACTTGAAGGTTTACTGCAACAGTCTGTGGTGGTGGAAGAGTCTGAAATGGCAGCTGGACCAAAGCTTCTGCAGCAGGAAGCTCCTCCTCAGAAACCAAAGTATTTTGCACCAAAACCTGGCCTTGGGATAGAATTTCAGGCTGCATTTGTAAAGACTGCACAGATTGCAAGGGCAGTTGCTGAATCTGGGTTGGAGATGTTGACAGATGTGGAGGGGTTGCAACTGGGATTGGCACGGACTGTAAGGTTGGATATTGCTGGTGTGGTGTTGGAGACACTATCTGCTGGCCTGGGGACATCAAGTTCGGCTGATCTACTGGTCCAATGTGTACTACTGGGGAAGGTGGAACTGTAAGATGGGATGGAAGATTAAGGTGTTGTGCTACTGGTCGTACCGGACTAGTAGTGGGCTGCTGTGGGTTTTGCTCTGACTGTAGAGCTGATGGCATAAGAGGATGTGGTTGTGACTGAATAAGTGCTTGTGGATGAATAATTATGGTGGGTGACTGACTAGGTGAGTGTGCAGGTGTAGGAGACACCACTACTGACTGCTGAGCTGACTGGGACGGAGTAGGAGATATTGTTAAAGGAGGAGGATGTATGTGAACAGGTGAGCAGTGTTGTGACTGGACACTATTGGGAACCGGAGGAAGACCATGGCTTTGGAGTGGAACATAGTGCTGTGATGGAGATGGTTCCTGATTGGGAGGAGTCTGAAGTGTGATTGGCTGAACTTGCTGCTGTTGTAATATCAGCTGATGATGGGAAATCTTTGGAGGTGGTGAATGAAGAGGTATCTGCTGATGTTTTATTAGAGAATGAGGTTGAATTGCAGAATATGAAGCTGTGAGGGGGAAAAAATGACCATTAGTATTTGTTTACTTAAGTTCCAAGAACATTACAATAAATATTTAAATGAGGAAAATTTTCACATCAGATGACTAAAGTCAGCACAGAACTTGACCAAGCCTTTCAGATGAGCACAACTTAGAAATACATTAGAAGATATCCTCTTCAATCATATACTGTGTCTCAAATATAACACGTGAACATAATGCATTTATTTTGGTAAATTCCAAAGTGAAATACAGCAATGAACAATTAAACAACATGTTTTAGATACATTAATGCTTTTATAGAAAGACATCTATCTTTCTGCCACCAGTTCTAAGACTATTGTTAATAAGACTTTTAGTTAAAAAATACCATCCTCAACTTTGAAAAGAACAGCGTTTACCTGCTTTAAAATAATTATAATATAAAAGAGGTAAGTACTTTAGAGTCAATAAGGTTTGATTAAAATTGCTAACTTAATGTCGGTCAGTGCTATTTAAAAATAGGTTTTTAAAAATATTGGACTGAAAGAGTTTTAATTTAGAACATTTAGACTAAGCCTGTAAAAACTAAGTGCCTAAGGTTATGCAACTAATTAATAATTAGGAACCTAAAAAGTGGCCTCATTTTCAGAGATGTACTTCCCTTCCTCACAAAGGAGCCAGTGACTCCTTGTCATAACTGCCTACCCTGGGAAATTGAAATGCCTGAGATTTTCCTCTGGGGCATACCCTTCCTTTTCTCCATACCTCTTCCCAGCCCTACCTGTTTTCTCTTTCATTTAAAAAATAAATTTTAAAAAAATTAGATATCAAATGATAAAGTAGGGGATAGGTTACTTTCCTGACTGACAACAATGGGGGTCAAAAATTCAAGAGCTGTCTGCCTTGCAGCCTCTCTCTCTCTCTCTCTCAAGAAGCCTGAAATTAAGCAGGTCTGGCTCACCAGCCCCACTCAGCCCACTTACCATGGCAAAATTTCTACTCTTTGAACCAGCCGGAATTATTAAATTATGCAATAGCCAACCTAAGTGCATAGTCTTAGCTTGGTTAACCTCATCCTCTAGCTCCCCACTTTTTTTCGTCATGCTCATTTTCTTGACTTCTTGTAAACTAGATTATAAACTCTCTGAGGCAGGCACAGATCTACCTATGAAGTTTATGCATTGTTGAGCACAATGGTGTCCTGATGATTGGGCCTTTGGGTGCTAATGCAACAGAAATATCGTAACTACCACCACCCTGGATAATACACGCACACACACACACACACACACACACACACACAATCATGCTCCTTTTTGAATTCTTTTTCTCTCTCTCCTGCCCTTCTCTGTGAAGGCATAGAGAATTCTAAGATAAATTTTTTTAAGCACCACTGAAAGTAATTATTCATCTCCAAGTGATTTAAGACCTCAAACATTCAATGAATATTTGAGACATTAGACACTTGCTTGTGGGCTCTAAATGACAGGGTGAACTTTTAACAACCTTTTAAAAGCTAAAGCTTAATCACACCTGGTGTTATTAATTGATGTATACTTGATGTCCGTGTGACAGATGTACTTCGACACTCAGAAGTTGGGCTCTCTCCTTTTCTGTTGCTGTCTGGAGAATCCAGTTGGCTGGCCTTGGTACCAGTTACAGTTTTATTAGTACACAGAGCCAATGACTGAGCTTGACTATTGCTCTTTGGTGGGCCATTCTGTGAACCACACAATACACCCAACTTCTGACTGCGCAATGTTAAGTTCTGAACCTGAGAAAAGAACCAAATATGAAAAGTATAGCTACAAATCTAATACATTAAAGACAAAGACGACAATAGTTATTTACTTTATCTGATGCATTTCATCAAATGATACCAAGATATCTGTAAAAAAAAAAAACTACACAAAAGTTAGTATCAGGGCATTTTACAAATCACATAATTTCAGGTAAGACAGAAGACTACCATTCAATTCAGCTTTAAACTGATGACAAAGGAAATATCTTCCAAGTGCTGATCTTTACAAGCTTTATGGCAAAGGCCTCCATTCTTTCCAGTCTTTTGAAAAGAAACTGTAATGGTTGGAAAACAACTTTTCTCTGATTTGATTTGGAGTCTGACAAATTGCTCCAATATTGCTGTTTCTTTACAATTTAAAGAGATACATTATTGCATTTTTTCAATACTGTAAAGACACAATCACCAACATGTGTATATTAAGAGAGGTTGTTTAACTTTAGTCAGGGTCCTGTGTCACAAAACAGGACCATATTCTTCTGAAAGCATCCTTAAATTCAGTGGCGAGCCCTCTAATTGTGCAACGTTAATTTATTCTGTCACAATGAAACACCCTTTATTCCCACCTTGATGCACAATATACATAACTATGTCTCATGGAACATAATATTAGTCAATGATTACTTTCAAAAATGATTATTTTTGACAATGGATTTTTCTGTTATGTTCTTTAGGTGGCCCGGTCTCTACCCAGATCTCAGCTCCCACAATGTTATCCAGGCAATCTAGCTCAGAAGCTCTTTCTCTGCAATTCGTGCTGGAGAAAGGAGAGTTGGCAGCCAGTTTCAGTAACTCACATCTCCAGCTCTCCAGTTGTTGGCTGCTGTGCTATTCTCCAGGCAACCCAGCCTAATGCTCCCTGATTGTAAACTGGACTAACCTGTTTCCTCTATCCCTGGCTGCCTGGATACATGCAACAATGCAAGGAGTGTATTCTGTAATCCAGAGGGAAAGCTGGAAATCAAGAGGTAACTACAGGAAGGTCTAGGAATGGCTGCGAGAGAACAATACATGAGGCACATGGCTGCAACAAAGTGGCCAATTCCATGACAAAAATGCCAAATTTTGTGGCATCTTGGAAAAATATCTGACTCTAAGGCTACAAAATTAGGTCGAATTTATAGAAGTCGGCTTTGTAGAAAGCATTTTTACACAGTCGATTGTGTGTGTCCCCACACATATGCTCTAAATGCATTTAGTCAGCAGAGTGTGTCCACAGTACCGAGGCAACCGTCGACTTCCAGAGCGTTGCACTGTGGGTAGCTATCCCACAGTTCCCACAGTCTCTGCCGCCCATTTGAATTCCATGAAGAAATCTCAATGCCTGATGGGGCAAAAACATTGTTGCGGATGGTTCTGGGTACATACTGTCAGGCCCCCCTCTTCCCTCCCTCTCTCCGTGAAAGCAACGGCAGACAATTGTTTCGTGCCTTTTTTCCTGTGTTACACGTGCAGACGACATACCATGGCAAGCATGGAGCCCGCTCAGCTCACCATCACCGTATGTCTCCTGGGTGCTGGCAGACGTGGTACTGCATTGCTACACAGCAGCAGCTCATTGCCTTTTGGCAGCAGACAGTGCAGTATGACTGGTAGCCATTGTCACCATAATCCAGGGTGCTCTTTTAGCCGACCTCAGTGAGGTCGGTCAGGGGCACCTGGGCAAACGTGGGAGTGACTCAGTCAGGTCATTTCCCTTTTAAGTTTCATGGCGATTCAGTCCTGACAGCAGTCATACTACACCGTATTCTAATGAGCAGCCAGAAGATGACGATGGCCAGCAGTCATACTGCACCGTTTTCTGCCGAGCACCCAGGAGATGACCATGGCTAGCAGTCGTACTGCACCGTCTGCTGCCAGCAAGATCTATAAAGATAGATGAAGTGGATCAAAACAAGAAATAGACCAGATTTGTTTTGTATTCATTTTCTCCCCCTTTCCTCCCTCCCTCCGTGAAATCAACGGCCTCCTAAACCCAGGGTTTTGAGTTCTATCCTTGAGGGGGCCATTCTGTTTCTCCTTGATGCAAAGCCACCCCCTTTGTTGATTTTAATTCCCTGGAAGCCAATCCTGGAAGCCGTGTTGTCAGTCGCCCCTCCCTCCATCAGAGCAATGGCAGACAATCGTTTCATGCCTTTTTTCAGTGCTGACGCCATAGCACTGGGAACACGGAGCCTGCTCAGATCACCGCGGCAATTATGAGCACTATAAACACCGCGCGCATTATCCAGCATGATATGTAGAATCATAACCTGCAAGAAAAGCAAAACCAGGTGAGGAGGAGGCGACTGCAGCGCGGTGATGAGAGTGATGAGGACATGGACATCGACTTCTCACAAAGTACAGGCCCCGGCAATGTGCACATCATGGTGTCAATTGGGCAGATTCATGGCATGGAACGCCGATTCTGGGCCCGGGAAACAAGCACAGACTGGTGGGACTGCATAGCGTTGCAGGTCTGGGACGATTCCCAGTGGCTGCAAAACTTTTGCATGAGTCAGGGCACTTTCATGGAACTTTGTGACTTGCTTTCCCCTGCCCTGAGGCGCAAGAATACCAAGATGAGAGCAGCCCTCACAGTTGAGAAGCGAGTGGCAATAGCCCTGTGGAAGCTTGCAATGCCAGACAGCTACCGGTCAGTCGGGAATCAATTTGGAGTGGGCAAATCTACTGTGGGGGCTGCTGTGATGCAAGTAGCCAACGCAATCACTGAGCTGCTGATATCAAGAGTAGTGACTCTGGGAAATGTGCAGGTCATAGTGGATGGCTTTGCTGCAAAGGGATTCCCTAACTGTGGTGGAGCGATAGACGGAACCCATATCCCTATCTTGGCACCAGAGCACCAAGGCAGAGAGTACATAAACCGCAAGGGGTACTTTTCAATGGTGCTGCAAGCACTGGTGGATCATAAGGGACGTTTCACCAATATCAAAGTGGGATGGCTGGGAAAGGTACATGACGCTCGCATCTTCAGGAATTCTGGTCTGTTTCAACAGCTGCAGCAAGGGACTTACTTTCCAGACCAGAAAATAACCATTGGGGATGTTGAAATGCCTATAGTTATCCTTGGGGACTGGCCTACCCCTTAATGCCATGGCTCATGAAGCCATACACAGGCAGCCTGGACAGTAGTCAGGAGCTGTTCAACTATAGGCTGAGCAAGTGCAGAATGGTGGTAGAATTTGGGTGTTTAAAAGCACGCTGGCGCAGTTTACTGAGTCATTTAGACCTTAGCAAAACCAATATTCCCACTGTTATTACTGTTTGCTGTGCGCTCCACAATATCTGTGAGAGTAAGGGGGAAACGTTTATGGCGGGGTGGAAGGTTGAGGCAAATCGCCTGGCTGCTGGCTACGTGCAGCCAGACACCCGGGCGGTTAGAAGAGTACAGGAGGATGCGGTGCGCATCAGAGAACCTTTGAAAGCTAGTTTCAGGAATGGTCAGGCTATGGTGTGAAAGTTCTGTTTGTTTCTCCTTGATGGAGTCCCCTCCCCCACCAGGTTCACTCTACTTTCCTGTACACTAAGCACCCTCCCCTCCCCCCTTCGATCTTGCACAGGCAATTACGCCAGTGTTGCTTCACATTCATGCATTATTTGTTTATTCATCACACAAACAGGGGGATAACTGCCAAGGTAGCCCGGGGAGGGCTAATGGAGGAGGGAAGCACCGGATGGGATGGTGGAGGAGGGAAGGACAAGGCCACACAGCACTTGAAAACTTTAAAAATGATTGAATGCCAGCCTTCTGTTGCTTGGTCATCCTATGGGGTGAAGTGGCTGGGTGGCCGGAGGCCCCCCCACCGCGTTCTTGGGCGTCTAGGTGAGGAGGCTATGGAAATTGGGGAAGAAGGCGGTTTGTTACACAGGGGCTGTAGTGGCGGTCTGTACTCCTGCTGCCTTTCCTGCAGCTCAACCATACGCTGGAGCATATGAGTTTGATCCTCCAGCAGTCTGAGCATTGACTCCTGTCTTCTTTCAGGAAGCCAACGCCACCTGCCATCTTCAGCCCACCATCTCTCCTCGCGGTCATATTGTATTTTCCTGCACTCTGAGATTGTCTGCCTCCACGTATTTTGCTGTGCTCTGTCAGTGTGGGAGGACAGCATGAGGTCAGAGAACATTTCATTGCGAGTGTGTTTTTTCCACCTTCTAATCTTCGCTAGCCTCTGGGAAGGAGAAACATATGCAGCTGGTGGAGGGAAAAAAAAAAAAGGGAGAGTGGTAGTTAAGAAGACACTTTTATAGAACTATGGGTACACTCTTTCACGGTAAACCTTGCTGTTAACATTACATAGCGCATTTCATTTCAAGGTTGCATTTTGCCTCTTATTGAGGGTATGCCGGTTTGGTGTGAGAGATCTCTCACGCAGGGCTGAGCAACAGAATTTGGCTTGCAGGCAGCCATGGTAAGCCACAGTCTTTTGGCTTCTTTAACCCTCATAACATGTGGGAATGGCTTCAAATAGCAGCGCCCTCATTTCCCATACGAAGTAGCCGTTGGGTTGGCCATTAAAAATGGGTTGGCAATTTTAAAAGGAGGAGCTGCGGTTTCTGGGTTCATGTGCAGCAGAAACCCAACTAACCCCCTTCTCCCCTGCCCACACACACCCAATTCTCTGGGATGATGGCTTCACCCCTCCTCCCACTGCGTGGCTAACAGCGGGGAAAATTTCTGTTCAGCCACAGGCAAACTGCCAGCAGGACCGGGCACCTCTGAATGTCCGCTTACTAAAACCACCCTATTTCAACCAGGTGACCATGAATTATATCACTCTCCTGAGGGTAACACAGAGAGATAAAGAACGGATGTTGTTTGAATGCCAGCAAACACCAGGACCATTCGCTGCAATGCTTTGTTCTGCAATGATTCCCGACTACGTGCTACTGGCCTGGCATGGTAAAGTGTCCTACCATGGAGAACGGAATAAGACTGCCTTCCCCAGAAACATTTTGCAAAGGCTTTGGGAGTACATCCAGGAGAGCTTTATGGAGATATCCCTGGAGGATTTCCGCTCCATCCCCAGACACGTTAAACAGACTTTTCCAGTAGCTGTACTGGCCGCAAATGCCAGGGCAAATTAATCAGTAAACACGCTTGCTTTTAAACAATGTATAATATTTACAAAGGTACACTCACCAGAGATCCCTTCTCTGCCTTCAAAGTCCAGGAGCCCGCCTTGGGTGGGTTCAGGGGGAACTGGGTCCAGGTCCAAGGTGATAAACAGATCCCGGCTGCTGGGGAAACTGGTTTCTCCACTTCCTTGCTGTGAGCTATCTACAACCTCCTCCTCCTCCTCAACTTCCTCGCCCGCAAAACCCGCTTCCATATTGCCTCTCACTCCTTGGACAGAGTCAAAGTATAGGGTTGGGGTAGTGGTGGCTGCACCCCCTAGAATGGCATGCAGCATGTCTGGGGCTCTGAACCGGAGCAGCCGTTTGCCTCTCTGGTTTTTTGGTAGGCTTGCCTGAGCTCCTTAATTTTCACGCGGCACTGCTGCAGGTCTCTGTTATAGCCTCTGTCCTTCATGCCATTGGAGATTTTTTCAAATATTTCGTCTTTTCGAACAGCGTTCTGCCTGCACCGATTCATCTCCCCATACAGCAATCAGATCCTGTACCTCCCGTTTGGTCCATGCTGGAGCTCTTTGGTGACTCTGGGACTGCATGGTCTCCTGTGATGATGGACTCTGCATGGTGATCTGTGCAGGTGAGCTCGCCACGCTGGCCAAACAGGAAATGAGATTCAAAAGTTCGCAGGCCTTTTCCTGTATACCTGGCTAGTGCATCTGAGTTGAGAGCGCTGTCCAGAGCGGTCACAACTAAGCAATCTGGGATAGCTCCTGGAGGCCAATACTGTCGAATTGTGTCCACAGTACCCCAAATTAGACCCAGCAAGGCCGATTTCAGCACTAATCCCTTCGTCGGGGGTGGAATAAAGAAATCGACTTTAAGAGCACTTTAAGAAATCGACTTTAACTATTCACTGTTTTTGCAACCACGAGGGATAGAAACCATTTTTAAAAAATGAAGACAGCTTCTGGAGCATAATGCAGCAAATGCCACATCTGCAGAACTGCAACCTTCATTCAGCCTTCTTGTCCATATGCATTACACTACACGCTTTAATTACGTGACCACATACTATTTTTCTCCAGGAACCTGTTTCATTCAGTGCACAGGATAGATGGCACTCAGTTAATGAGCAGCCTTTCAGTATTTTTTTTCTTCTCATTATTCATTGTGTGGCCCCATGTCTTAGTTATTGCACACTATTCAAACCCTGCTCTGAAGACAGAATTATTAATTTCCTCCTCGGATTTTCTATGGTGTTCATCACTATATTATCTGCATGCTTCACAAATAATTAATCAATCTTCACAACACCCCTGTGAGGTGAGGAGGTGGTATTATCCCCATTTTACAGGTGAGGAACTGAGATACAAAGAGATTAAGTGAAAAGTTTCCATTCATTTTGGGTGCCCAATTTGACACACTTAGGAGTTATGGTGTCAGGACCCAAGCCTACCCACAGCAACACCCCAGTCCAGATTTTCCCCTTCTGCTCTGCTTGGAGCAAGGAGACTCTTTGGGGAATTTAGCTGATAAGCTCTGGCAAGTCTCTAGTGAGAACGTGAAAACCGATTATTTTTCCAAAGGTTTATATTTTGGTCAAATTTCAGTGGATTTTCACAGGGATAGCAAAAGGTACATCCCTGATATAAAGATTACCTCCTTTCAACTCTCTGCTCCAAAGCATGTGTACTCTAGAGCTTCTCGAAGGAAATATTTCTCAAGAATTTTTTTACCAGGGCAAACCAACATATTTTTCTTGGAAACGACAACCATTTGGACTGAGATTTCAACAAACACAAACAGAGATAGAAAGAGAGTGCTTGGGGCAGACACCCAGCATGGAAAGTTTCAACTTAAATGGTAAAAGTTTTGCAAAAATTATAAGCTACTGAAAACAGGGTCTTACAATGGGAAGTGTCATGCAACCTTAATCAGAGGCAACACTACATCCCCACCAGTAATATTCAATCCTTTTGTGAATCCTATAAAGTCCTTAGCATCAATGATATCTCATAGCAATTTTGAAGTATTTTCTTTTACACATTTCAAATGTGATCTTTTTAATTCCATCTCATGTCTCCTTGTTCACATATTACGAGAAAGAATAAACAGACACACCCCCAGTTTATCTTTAATACACTGTTCACTATTTTATACATCTCCATGTTCTCTACTATTCTTCTCTAAACAATCCCAAACTTTTCAATCTCTCATCCTTCCAAAAACACTTCCATGCCTGCAATCAATTTGGTTGCTCATCTCTGAACCCCTTCTGCTCCTGTTTTGAGATTCATTATGAGAACTAAACACAATATCCCAAACAATTAGATCACTTTTACCTGGATACCTGTGCCTAGCTTCAGGCAACCAAATTTTATCAGTTTGACATCAACCTAAAATGGATATATGCATGGTTACCAGGCAACGAGAGGCATTTTCCACATACCCAGTGAACTAAGGTATCAAAGAAAAGAGAAAAGAAATACTATTTCTAAATATAAATGATACTTTAAATTATTTAATTTCAGAGAGTATTCAGTTATGTTAGTGGTTCCAGAATTTTGCCAGCATTTAATTCTTATGGAAGCTTTTATATTTTTATCCCCTGGGCCTAAATGACTCTACTACCTGTACTTGACCAGGATACCCCACTTTTTCTGCATCATGTTACACCTGTTATCTGTCAAATGAACTATAATCTACATATTTAGTTGGTATCTGGTGCTATACACTAATTAGTTGTGAAATATTGGGCAATATTTTTGAACAAAATGTTTTATACAATTATGTTGTAGGCAATAACAAAGGCAAACTGAGCTGGAAAAAAACCCACATAATGGAAAGAAAATTGCCGCTGTTATGAGTATTATACAAAATACTGAACTGCTGACAGTGACAGATATGTATGTATGTAATTATTATTTGTAGTATAATCATACCTAGAGGACCCAACCTAGATTGGAGTCCCATTGTGCGAGGCATGGTACATACACGTAGTAAGACACAGCCCCGAAGAGCTTACTATCCAACTAGACAAGACAGGCAAAAGGTGAAAGAAAGGAAGAGTTATCCCCAATTTACAGATGGGGAACTGGGAATTAAGAATCAGACTGGTTAAGTGACTTGCCCATGATCTAACAGGAGATCTGTGGTAAAGCTGAGAACTGAACCTAGATCTCCCGAGTACCAGTGCAGTGATTTAACAAGAGCATCCATTCTTTCCAGACCTACAAGGTATGCAATAATCTACAAACAGAAATGTCACCGGGGAGATTTAATATTAATCTCACAAACCTATGGTAAATATTTTATTAGGGAACAATCCTGCACTGGCAGAGAGATAGATCAGATGACAAAAAGTCTTTTCTCAATATAATTCCTACGATGTTATGATTTTTCAATCATCTGACAATAGAGGGATTAGGAGCTAGTTTGGTTTTATAATCTCAGTCACACTCCCTGTGTTTCGATTTAAAGATTTTATTTTATTTCAGAGTAGAGGAAAAAAGAAAGATACACAGGCTAGTCCTAAGGAAAAAAAGGAAGGAAGAAGACAAAAGGAAAAGAGGGGAAGAGAAAAGGAGAATGAGAAAAAAAGCGGGGAATGGAAAGAGAAATAAGACACTTTTCAAGTCTAGAGGTTTTTTGTTCAGCTGTTATTGGTGAGCACTGATCTTTGTGATGTCACCACCTCAGGGAGAACACCATGAGACTACCACCATCTTCATTCCCTCTTCTAATCAAAAGATAACCTCTGTCTTATACTATCAATATATTCACAGTATATCCAGAAAATGCAGCTTAATGCAAGTTTCTTTGTTAAGTGGTGCTGACTCCTTGTTTGATTATGTTTACGAAAAAGTGTTTTTGTTTATATGGAAAACAAAACACAAAGAGTCTCCATTCCCTCAGCGCACCTATCGGAAAACACCCTCCAAACCCAAAGGACACAGGTTTAATAAGGGCTAAAGGAAAAAAAATGTATAGCAGTCCACTGCTAAAGCATTGCCAACGCATCATTGGTTGTTGGTGAAACTGGTTCTTTATGATGTCACTGCTGCTATAGAAACCATTAGTCAACACAGGTGAAGATCCCATCTGGCAGTAGAAGAGCATGGAAAGCTGAGAGAGGAGGCAACATCTCGAGTCTGGCAGGGTCATCACAGCAGCTCAACTGAAAAAAGAACACTCTACGGTCCTGGGTACGGTCCTATTATCAACCTGCAAAGATGTCTCAGGAAGTTGACTGGTTACACAGCCAGGCAGGTGTGTGTAAAGTAGACCTCTACAACCCTGATGAACAGAAGGACCAGGACCGGAAAGTGATCTGTTTTGTAGATGTCTCCAGCCTGAATGTAAAAGACAAAGATTCAAAAGCAAAGAAAGCTGCTAGCCAGTCCAGCAGCATGTCTGAACCTTCAAATGAACTTGATCTGGGCAATCTGGAGGAAAAAGAAGTCATTGTAATAAAGGACAACGAGAAGCATGATCATTCTAAAACTGAAGGAGCAGTATGTCTTTTCAAACAAGGTTCAACTGATGAACTCAGCGTTGTGAGCTGGCTCAACAATGACCTTCAGAAATATGCAGTTGGATTCCAGCATGCACTGACCCCTTCAGATGCCCCTCAGAAACGCAAAGTTAGCCAAACCTTCAATGATCCATCGTTGTCCCAGAACAGTGACACATCTTTAAAGTCTGCCGGTGCCCAAAAGGGAAAGAGAGATCCAGATGATGTTTCATACTATGTAAATAAGCTCTGTTCTTTGGTTGTTCAAATGGCTCGTAAAGAGATCACAGATAAATTGGAAGGCACTGCCAGTAAGTTTATACGTCAGGGGATTCATGGTTCAGGGAAAAATAACAATTCCCGTGGTTCTGTGAGCAAAATCGCATCACAAATGGTGAATGAAGCTGTTGAAGCAAGCACACAGGACCCCCAGGGTAAACTATCATCCCCCAGACCATCTCAAGAAAAGACTACCAAGAGGGAAGATACTTCAGGTTCTAATAGAACATCGCTCTTCTATGGTGAGATGTCTAATCAAAATGGCTATAAACAGGGAGGAAAACCTGGAGATAAACAAATGTGTCAGCAAGCAAAACAGTCTGGGCAGGATGATTCTGGTACTTCTGTAAGCAAAGGGTTAATGGTTTATGCAAATCAGGTTGCTTCAGACATGATGTTCTCATTTATGAAGACCATGAAAGTCCAAAGGAAGGATGGTAAGACAACCCCAGCTTGCGTAGTTTTGAAGAAAGTAATCCTCAAACATACCAAAGATGTCATATCAGACTTGATAGACTCAACCATGAAAAATCTGCATAATGTCACAGGGGTGCTCATGACAGACTCTGATTTCGTTTCCACAGTGAAGAAAAATCTTTTCAACATAGGAAGTCAAAAGTCTACTGAAATTTTGGAAGCAATGGTGAAACGCCTGTTTAAAGCCCTAGCAGGGGATGATAAGCAGTCCAGGTCTCAAAGCCTAGCATACACATCACTTAAAACAGGC